GAGAGAGATAGAGATAGAGATAGAGATAGAGATAGAGATAGAGATAGAGATAGAGATAGAGATAGAGATAGAGAAAGGAGAGGGAGGGAGGGAGGAAGGGAGAGAGAGAGAGAGAGAGAGAGAGAGAAGCATCATGTGATGTTTTGATTCCTGTAACTTGGTGGATGCAGCCTTCAGAAAGAAAATGGAGAAAGATATGGCTGCTGTTAACTGGGTGTTGTTTTTCCACAGACAGGAAAAGGCAGGCCCATACCATGCAGCCCATGCCCTCCTCTTATTCTCCAAAGGTTAAAAGACTTATGTAAGGGTTTCTTTTCACCATCAGTGATTCTGTTTCCTCCACCATGCTCTAATTCAAGCTGAACCACATGAATTCTGTATCGTGGCAGATCTGTGGTTCTCTTAGACCTCACATGGCCTCCATTTCAAGCCAACACTGCAGTTCTCACCTTTCTCTTTCCATCTCAGAATCTGTGTTTCACTGTATTCAATTGTTTCTTACCTCATCCTATTGCCAAAGCTACAAGACATTCACCTTGCTTTACAATGTTCCATAAACTACTAAGCAATAAATGAGCGTTGTCAAAAGGGATTATTAAGAAGCCAGAGTCACATAGCTGAAACATCAATATCCAAAGTCAAAGTATGTGCACTAATTTTGGATTTTATGTACTTTTTTAGTTTCTAATACAGAAAGCAAAGAATATAGATAGTAGCCTTGAAATAGACTTTGAAGGGTATCAGTGAAGATATTCTTCAGTTACTGTTTCTTCTGAAAAACCAACAGAATTTTTCAACCATTCTTTGCTATGAAAATGCAGAAAATAATATAAACCCAGTAATACTCTTTAAATTAAAGGCTTCTTTTCTTATTATACTTGAATACCTTGCTTACTAGGGAATTTGAATACTTTGTTGTGTAAAATATCAAATCCAGTCAGGAAAGTAAGGAATGAAATGTTTATGGTTCTATTTCCTTAACAGATGAAGACCTCCAGGTTCTCAGTGGCAGAGCAACCCCTTAATCCCAGGGACCCACATAGACAGTGCCCTCATCACCAGACTAGATCTATTTTCACAAAAGAGGCTTTGGTAACCATTCAATAACTTTAGTTTAGTACCAGCACCAAAACCAGAAGAAGTGTTCAAGAAATGATGAGCTGGAATTGGTGGAGAGGAAAATGCAATTACTTGGAAAGTATATTTGTGAGACCAAAATTGAAAGTAGTAATATATTAGTGACATGAATAAGCATATTGATGTTTTAGAGTTGTGCTTTGCTGGGATGGTTTATGCTTTGTTTTTTGTAATAGTGGGTCTCTGACTTGGATCATAATGTTAACCATATTTAGCAAAATGATGTGATTATTTCAGCATAGTCTGCACTATAGTCATGGCTTCTTATGGATTATGGCAATGGTTTAATTGGGCTGCCTATAAAAGCCTTTATATGCATCAGAGTGGATCATTAATAAGTCCAGGACTTGTACATGTCCAGAGCACCACAAACTCAGAATTCCCTATCTTCCTTCCCTTGTATTCTTTCCAGAAGAAGGTCAGTGGAGGACAGGATGATGACTCTTCAGCTGTTGGCTGTGGGCACAGTCCTACAACAGCCCTGTACACAGCCATGAGAGGGGCAGGCACAGTCCAGTTAAAGCAATCTGGCTCTCTTCTGAGGAGCATATTCTGCCCTGACCTGATCACTCCAGGTACAGGGATTGACAAAAATAACTGTCCTTGGCAAGTGGTACCTTGGCAAGTACCACCAAGAAGACAGTTTTTCTAGCACTTAAATATACTTTCTTAAAATTTGGGATTGACATGTAAAACAATCTTGTTTCTAATTCAAATTAAAAAATGGAAAAAATCAAAGAACAGCAATACACACAGAGAAAAATTTCACTAGTACAACAATATACAAAATAAGAAATTTTAGTTTCCTGTTTTTGAAGCTATTACTTCTCCATTGATTCCTAGTTCCTATCATAAGTTCAGCTAACATTTTCTAGTATATTCTTTCTAACCTAGTTCCCAGCCTCTGTCCTGCCAAATTATTGCATATATGTCATCATCTGTAACTGTGTATGCCTTGGTTACTTTTCTATTGCTGTGATAAGACACCAAGACAACATATAGTAGAAATAGTTTGTTTAGCACATGAAGTTTCAGAGGGTTAGAGTCCTTGACCATCAAAATGGGCAAGGCAGACAGTCACAGTGCTGGAACAGTAACTGAGAGCTCATGCCCTGAGACACAGACACTAAGCAGAGAGTAGGAGACACTGGGAATGACATGGGCTTTTGAAACCACAAAGTTCACCCCCAATGATGCACATCCTCCAACAAGGCTATCCCCCACATCTAGCTCAAACAGTTCCACCAAATGAGGAACAAGCATTCAAATATATGAGCCTATGGGGGCTATTCTCATCCAAACCATCACAGTGTATCTTACTTCTTCGTGGGAAAGTTTTAAGGATCATTATACACCCATACATACTCATATAATTCTTTTTTAAAGGCTGTAATATCCATACGACTGTTTGGACATGCTACATTGATATAAAATACTCTTAACTGAATTACTTAACATTTTCCTCCTTTTTCTGTGACAAAGATCTAATGTATATAATAACAGATGACATACACTAACACACTTCAGTTTTATTGTGTATCTTATACCCACTCATCTACAATTCTCTGACCTCAGCCTTTGCCGTGCTGAGGTTTCAGGCTTGTGCCACACACGTAATAATAAGGTAAATTTCACAGTAGAACTGCTGGTCCTAGGGCGGGATGTAGCTCAGTGCTATAATATTTGCTAACATCCTAATTCAATCCCAAGTACTGAAAAGAGAGTTGCCAAACCAAATCCATTTCCATTTTTAAATTCTAATAAATTTATTTAAATGCTTTCAGGAAAGCAGAGTCAAACATTTTTCACTTCTAACATTCTTGTGAACACTTGCTATTATCAGACTTTTCCTTTCATTTTTATTAGTTTCTTGAAAATTTCTTACAATGTATTTTGATTATGTTCATCCTCTTCTCAAACTCCTCTCAGATCCGTACCCCATTTCTTCACCTACCCAAATTTGTGTTCTCATAATTTTAAAACCCATCAAATCCACTTTATGCTAGCCTTAGACTCTTGCGTGTGTGGCCCTATCAGGAGACACACCCATAAAGAAAATTGTTTTTCTGTCCCCCTAAGTTGCCAATCACTCCTTAGCATGAGACTTTGTGCTCACCCCTCCTTTCCATGCTGGGATTATATCTGACTTGAACTTACGAAAGTCTGATACATGCTATCAAAATCACTGTGAGCTCATATGTGCAACTTCTGTGTTGTGTGTAAGAAACTCTTCTTTCCTTATAGTCATCCCTCCACCACCTTTAGTTCTTACCATCCTTTTTACTCCTTCTTCCTCAGTGACTCTTGAGCATTGGAAGGAGGGGTGTAATATAGATGTCCCTGTATTCTGAAGTCTTATTCTCTGTAACTTGACCAGTTAAAGGTCTCTGTTTTGATTAGCATCCATTACCAAAAGAAGCTAGAGCCAGGCATTGGTGATGCACGCCTTTAATCCCAGCACTCAGGAGGCAGAGGCAGGCGGATCTCTGTGGGTTCGAGGCCAGCCTAGTCTTCAGAGAGAGTGCCAGGATAGGCTCCAAAGCTACACAGAGAAACCCTGTCTTGAAAAACCAAAAAGAAGAAGAAGAAGAAGAAGAAGAAGAAGAAGAAGAAGAAGAAGAAGAAGAAGAAGAAGAAGAAGAAGAAGAAGAAGAAGCTAGAGAGGTTTCTGATGAGGGTTAAGAGATACAACAATCTATGGGTATAGGGTTTCATCCTATAACCATTTAGGAGAAAATAACAGTAGGTTCTCTCCTAAGGCCTATGATCTGACTAGCAAAAGCTTCTTGGTTTCAAGAACAATACCAGGTATGAATTGCATCTTGTAGAGTGAAGTAGGTCTTAAATCTAAGTAGATAATAGATAGTTACTACCATGACATCTGTGCATTGGTAGGTGGTCTGGCTAGGCCAGTTGTTAGTGTAGCTCATGGTATTCACATATGATCAAGATTGATATTTACTTTGAATCTTTAGATGTATGTGTTTTATCTGAAATAGCTATAGAGGTCAGAACATTAGTAAGGAGCCACCACATATGCTTATTGTTTATCTGTTCTCAGTAAGATTACTAAGCTTACTTTTTTTAAATCCATGTATTAATCTTTTTCCCCTAAGTGATTCAAAATTTTTGACATCACTAAAATGTAAACCACATAATTATTTCAACAATAAAAGCTAACCTACAGCAAAAAATGCTAATATAAAAATAAAATATAGAAGCCAATATGTACACATTTAATATTAAATCATCACTTGAAAGTACAGGTTTTGAATGTAAGATAACAAAAGCTAATGCTGCAAGACAAAAAAAAAGCTTGACTGAAGTTTTTGAGGGAATTTGTAAAAATATTGCTTTCTCTATGAAAAGTGACAGGTTTATCTGGGATGTATTGCTTTTTCTTTGCTTTAATTTTTATTTCTGTACTAAATAATACTGTAATACTCGGTGATGTTTACTGAAATAGAATATTCTTATCTATGATTATATATAAGATTTTAAAAAGGTAACCCAATGATACATTTTTGATAAATTTGAATATGTAAAAATCAGTGGAGGGATGTCAAGAGAATATCTTCAAAATTCACTTGAAGGCTGAATTGTGGAGGTTTCTAGCCCATAGGAAACCATCAAATTAAGTCACGGAGACTAGATACCAAGAGGAAAATAGGATGGCTAAACATTCTAAAGTACCAAATGATCATAAATATATGTAATTAATTCAGTGATGTGTGAATGAATAGATGATAATAAATGAATTATATCTTTCTTCTTGCTTTTTGTTAACTGTGTGTTAAAGTTCATGGAAATTGCACATCCAAGAATAATATGTCATTGGGTCTTTTGGGGGCTTATGTTTACAGAAAATCACAACGATCTAAATGGCCTGAAAACCAGATTAGAAACTGCTGATGCTAGGAATGGTGATCTCCTGAGAGCTTTGAATGACACTTTGGGCAAGTTATCACTCATTCCAAACGGTAAGCATACTGGTCCTGCACTCTGTATCAGGTGACCTGAAATACGGAAGAACCTTGGTAGCTTTTACCATTTTCCTAACATTACATTTCTACTACCATAAAATAATGGATACAAGTTTTCTTGATTATGAATTATTCTTCTGAGAATCAGAACCACATTTAACAACATGTTGGTGCTATCCTTTTTTACCTTTAGCTGGCATGCATGGGAACATGTCATATCAAGGAATATATCATATTATTATATTGTCATCCCTGCCTAAGAACTCTTGTATTAGTGGGAAAGAATAAAATCATACATGGACTGCTCCCCATTATGTTGGTTTACTTCCCCAAAATCACAATTTATTAGAGTCTCTACACAACAAACAAGAGCCTATAGCCATTTCATATGTCTTGTTTGGCTTAAGTGACCTCCTTAGCTATTTCAGATTTCAAAAATAGTAGTCAACCCATTTCTATATCACACTACCTCTTTAAACTATTTAAAATTATTGCTCGATATTAGTTCTGGACAGTGTAAATTCTTTTTAATTTTCCTAACAGGCTACAGTGCATTATAAGTATTCACTAATCTATATGATTTGGTAAGCATGTAATCTCTCGTTCTAATTCTCCAAGGTGGATAGAATTGTTGTTTTCACTTTTGAAGTGAGAAACAGAATACTAAAGGCTGTTGTCTAAAGTGACGTTTATCTCTTTATAGCCTGTGGCCTCACCCACCATTACAGACACGCAAGCATGGATCTATTTGTACAATTGTATTAGTCACTTTATATCTCTGAAATTTAAAAAATCAGATATAAACAACTTAAAGAAAAAGATTTACTTTGACTTATGGTTTCAATGTATGGTCAACTGACTCCTCAGATATGGGTGTGTGGTGAGGCACAGTACCATAGTAGTGAGAATCTGTGGCAAAGGAGGGGCTACTTAACTCACAGGGCCAAAAAGCAGAGAGAAGGTCAGAGGAAGGAGGCTGGGAATCATGTTAACCCTTCAAAGGAATATCTTCAGTGCTCACTTCTTCAGGTGTGCCCCCCTCCTTTCACAGTTTCTACCACCCCAATATTCCATCAAATTATTAATCTATCTATGGATTCATCTATAGATGAACGCAGAGACCTCATGGTTCAAACAACTCCAAAGTCCCAGCTCTAGCAACAAGTCCCTCAACATAGGAACCTTCAAAAGTCATTTTATATTCAAACCACCAGAACTGTGTTTTGCACTCAAGTTATGACCCAGAAACAAGCACAGACATGTATGCAACATGGGAAATGTTAAAATTTAAATGCATGCTGCTTTTATTTTATTAACTTCTCATGGCACCTCTTGACTACTTAGAACCTACCAAAGTGCCAATACAGAAAACAAATAGAAACACACAACCATTTCCAAAATTAAAACACATTCATTTTTCTCCTATGGATATACAGTTTAAATCTTAATTCTAGTTTTGATGAAGCTACATGAACCATGTGGATAGATTCCTCCCTTTAATATGCTCAGCAGCAAATCACAATATACCCCTAAACTACAAACTTAGAGAATAATCACTTTGCTATTTTAAAAACTAATCAGGTATTCCACAAAGGTCCCTGAGAAAATTTAATTTAGCTAAAAAAAAAATTGCTTCATTTGCTACAGCTGATAGAAACAGTTCAGCCTTTACCCTGTGTAAATGCATCCCTGAGGTCAGCCAGCCACAGCCTGCCTCTGCTGAGCATGGATGAAAACTCCTCCAATGTCTTTTGTTTTCTTTCTCATGCCCGTTTGTGCCAACAGACACGGCTGCTAAACTGCAAACTGTCAAAGAGAAAGCCAGACAAGCCAATGACACAGCGAAAGCCGTCCTGGCCCAGGTTAAAGACCTGCATCAGAACCTTGATGGTCTGAAGCAAAACTACAATAAACTAGCAGACAGTGTGGCCAAAACGAATGCAGTCGTGAAAGATCCTTCCAAAAACAGTAAGATCATTGCCTTTCTCGCTATGGTTGTGTCATTTATTTCATCACACCGTTAAAGTGGCCAAGCCTCATGTGTGGTAGAGCTAGATCAAGACCTAAAGCTCATCCCCCCTCATTCCTGGTGTGGGTGTGAGAATGAAAGGTCCAGCCATTCCAGCCCCCAAGTCTCTCAGCTCTGCCTGGGAGCCTTTTGCATTTAATTTTATCCAATCAGAATGAGGCTGGGAATTCTCAAAGTTTACATGCTGTTTGGTGTGTGGATGTCACAACTTTTTGATCCATTAGTGTAATTGAAAATATAGTTATACACAGGTGATTGTATGCTTAGGATTGGAGTTGCGTGGAACATAGAGTTTAAGAGCATATTCATTAGCTGTCCTGTTGGAGAAAGATATCGCCTTAAAATGCATCATTTGAAATTTCACTGTATTTATTATTTATAGTCCAGTCAATTAACATTTCCAGGAAATGAAGTGTTTATTTATTTTATACCAACTGTATCTTCACATCTCTTATATATATTGCATCAAATTCATTGGCTTAATTAGAATTTATTGAGAAATCTGAGAGAATTCAGTGTAATGATTTATAATTTTAGTTAGTCAACAAGCATTGGTACTTTTTAGTGTATTTTCCTGTTCTATCACATGATAAGATACTATCTTGGTATATGATTTACCTAAGGAAAATACTTAAGGATTTTTTGTTTTTGTTTGTTTTTTTCTTTTTGCTTTTAATAAGCTAGACTATCTACCAGCATTTTTATAAGTTATAAGAACATTTATAGAATGAGATGACAGAAGCAGTGTTATCATAATGGCAGTGACTATAGAATAAACAGATCTGAGTGTCTTCACTTCAACCAAAAATGCTAAAGATGCTATGATGTAAGAGACCACGTTATGATGGTGGTTCAGGAAAATGTTCACGACAGCTTCCTGGGCAAGGGGGAAAATCAACAACAACAACAAAAATGATGTACTTGAGATCTGGAATGAAGAAAGACCAGCTCCTTGCCATTTCTTCAAGGAGGATAGGAGATAAACATAAATTGTACTTCCCGTGTGTTTCAGAAACCCCACCTGAGTTACTTCTTTTTATACATCACAACACTCCTCATTCAGGAAAATGGATTTAAAAGTAAATTTGCTGTTTTATTTCACGTAGAGTATGATTTAAGATATCGTTTTGTTCTAGTTTAGATTGAATCTCAGCTGATGACATCCCTGTCATAACACTGTTACTTCTTTATCTTCCATTAAAAGAAACATTTATTGATAAATAGTAATTAAATATTTTCTTTTGATTTTAGTAACATTTCCTCCCATGTGAACAGCTTGCTAAAGGGCATTTTTCCATTTTTAAAAACTAAATTGTTTCCATGAAATATATTTTGATCATGTTCTATGTGCTTTTATCTGGTAATACTTATTTGAATTAAAATAAAGTGTATTTGTAAGAACATTTGTTAGAAAGTGCCATGTTTTGGTACTTTATAATACCTGTAGAAAATATTTCCTCAGGAATTTTCTAATTTCTTTTTTTTTACTTCCATATGAAATTACCTGCAGAAATCAGTATGTATATGCTTATTTGTGTGTTCTCTTGTAACTTTTATGCTGCTCTACTCATTGCCAAAAGCTTCAGTTTTGCATGTGACCATATATTGGGGCTGCTTTAAACATTGCATAGCTGTTCTTTACACTATCACAAATTAATACTCTATATAAAAAGAATATCCCTACAATGAAGCTGATATGTGGATATATTTGGCATAAATAGTTTTAATAGTGCTATGGAAACCTAGTGAAATATTTGAATCTTATCCACATAGAAATGTAAAATTGACTTTTGCAACAGATTGAGATAAACTACAGTGTCTCTGCTAGTTCAAATCCAGCCATTCATTGAGCTTGAATGACTTCCCTGCACATGAGTTAAAGTAGCTAAAATAAACTGTGTTGTTGCCACCCCACCCACAATGCTCATTTTCCCTCCCTTCATTTAAGTAATTATTCTCATAATTAAATAGGTTCTAAGCAATTCTTCTTGAAATAAAATTGGTTCTATACACATGAACAATTCATCTAAATATAAAAATGTTGTCTCTTGCACATGTCAGAATTTGAGATGAATGTCACAGCACTACAAATAAGTAGGGGAAATGATAATAAAATCAAACATATCAAAATCTGAAGAACACCATCAATGCTGACCTCTGTGGAAAATATTTTAGAAGAACTGCATTACTATATGAGCACTGAAAAAAACTCTTAAGCCTTCGATTTGTGTGTTAGAAAAAATAAAACCGACATGAAGAAACAGCTAACCAATGAATAAATTAGAATATAGAAAACAATAAAACAGATAATTGGCAAGCTTAATCCCAAGAAATAAAGGACAACCAGGTGATTCCTAAAGGCAATAGAATTACATAATGGAGAAAATATAATAGAGATTACTTGGGAAAACTCCATGCTGGTAAATTTTAGAGCCTACAACATACAGATAATAATCTTCCAGGAAAAATCCATTTATCAAACTCTAACTGGAGAAGCTATTTTCAAGTCTACTTACTCAGACAATTAGGGAAGAAAATGAGAACATATTCAAACACTACTATACAAGATATCTTAGACTCGGCATCATAGATGCCTCAGTTCTCAGAGATGGGGCAAGATAATTTCTACACAGCTTAAACAGCTTTGCAAAGTAGAGGCAAAGGAAGGAGGGGAAACCTTCAGTTCCATTCAAAGCATTTGAAAAAGCTTTGGGGAGATGTAGGAGAAATGGGACCAGTATTTATCTTAGCCTTAGTAGCCTTGGCTTAACTCCTTTTTTCTCTTTATTGTGAATCTAGCTGTAAAACTACATTTTCCTTAATTCTAGAATAATTTTTAGAATATAAAGTAACACTATATGGTGAGAAGGAAGAGAACAGTGGACAAGCACAGAAAACAAGTGGGTAGCAATGGCATGGACTTGACAAGGACTACCCATATGATAAGGACTTTGATCCAGGCAACTTGCATCTCCAGAAAGACACACAAACAAAAACAACACTGGAGTCTTGATCCAGGAACCCTGCAAATGTTAACTATAGCCCACATTCTTTTTAAATTCTGCTAAGAATACAGCCCACGTTAATGAGCATGACCTCAAATCAACTACCTCAAAATACAGTTAAAGATGCTGATGTGTGGACTGAGGACTGAGCTCTGTGGTCAGTGCTTTTCCATCAAGCATTGGTCCCTGGGTTCTGACTCCAGCATTAACAAAACCAAACAGAATGATATTTATGTCCTTGTAAATTTATTGAATTCAATCCTAAAGACAAGTTCTCAGTGGCTCAACATCAGGCAAGCAGCAGATTTGTCATAGTCTAGCAGGGCAGGTAGCCTTGGACCTTGCAGAGTTCTTCAAGATCACAATAACAGAGTGCTGAACAACACAAACTCAGTTAGATAACAGATGACAGAGTTTGTATAAGATTGCCAGCATCCCAGAAGTTGAATAATTGGCTTTCCACACCTTATATACCCTGCCTCACCCCTGTTGCCATGGAAGCACATACTTAAGGTCTATGGATTAGATACCTAAAACCCTTTCCAGGTACAGCCTTTCAAAACTGTCAATATTCAACTTTTTTATAACCTACAAAAAGAGCAATTTAATGTGAATCCAACCAAAATAGAGTATAGTACAATGAACTACTCTTCAAGACAAAATTGAACTTAAGTTTGAACAATTTAATTAAGGCATAACAGAGGCCTTCAGTCTAAGTGTTGTTCCATCAGGTAATGTTCTTCAAGCTGTGTCTCCATAGCTTCCTTCTCAAACATGTGCAAAGAAAGACAAAGAGGGCAAAAAAGAAAAAAAAAAAAGAACCCAATTTTGCATGAGAACCTTGTTGTTAATGTGGTTTGTGGGGGACAGAGCAGGTGATATTTTAAAGACACCCCATTTTAATTTCTCTGTAAAAGTCATCTTTGAGGCTAAAAGGTCAGTACTTATCATCTCTTCTATCTTTAATATCAATTTCCATCTCAATCCCAAAGCCAAAAACATTCTCTAACAGCTCTGGCCTGCTTTAATCTCGACTAAAATATTCACAGTTGGCCTCATGCACTCTGTCAGCCATCATGGTCTTGCTTTTGTCACATGTATAAAATGAAATAAATTAGTAAATCCAATGCTCTTCTGGCACCTTTCTCTGTGTATGGGGGGGCGGTGCATGCTCATCCCCCCACACACACAAATACTAATTTTGTTCTATGCAGTTGCAGATGCAGATACTACTGTGAAAAATCTAGAGCAAGAAGCTGATCGGCTGATAGATAAACTCAAGCCTATCAAGGAACTGGAAGATAACCTAAAGAAAAACATCTCTGAAATAAAGGAACTGATTAACCAAGCCCGGAAACAAGCCAATTCTGTAAGATCTTATTTTCAGAACTAAGAATTACTAATAAGTGTTACTCTTATTCCCAGAGGGAAAGTCTTCCCCAATGAATTTGATGAATAAATGATCTCTGGCTTCCTGGACTGAAGGCTGATTTGGTATGTAGGAAGGAAGAAGCAGCATTTTATTTCCTATAGATTTCAAAACCATTCCAGGAAAATGATAAACCACACTTACTGTTTGAGAATTAGGAAATCTGTTATATTTTGTTGTTGCTTTAATATACTAAAACAAACAACACAAATGAAAAGCTTATTCTTGCATACCAAAAGGAATAATGAGAGTGTCTTACTAGTGAAATATAAAATGCCCAATGAGTGGGGTTGCAACCTGAATTCACAAACAAGGTTAGTAGAAATAGAACTGTTATTTTAACTAAGTATGGTTTTCCTTGTTTAAAGACACCCAACATTTCCTTTTGTTGTAGGACTTCTTTTTATATTTATGGAGTAAAAATAGGAAATGGCTGGCTTGAAATTTTGGTTTATATTCATCCAATTAGAAAACTATCCAGACAGATAGCCCTCTCTAAAAAACAATGTGCTAAGGGGCTGGGATGATTAAATTTTGTTTATTTATTTGTTTTGCTTGTGTGTAGGCATGTGCCTCAGTGTGTGTGTAGAGGTCTGAGGACAGAATGTAGAAGACAGTTTTCTCCTTCCACCCTGTTAGTCCTAGGAATTTAACTCTGTCAGGTTGCAGTCAAGGACTCTTCCTCACTGGCTCTGAACTGGGACACTTAAATGCTAATGTGAAACTTTAAATATATAAAGTCAAACTATGATGACTTTAGAGATGATAGATTTTAATAGGATGCCTTTTAATATTGTCAATTTTAAGTTAAACTTCCATAAAAATATTTCATTTAACAAAGGTAGCCAGGATGGTCAGAAAGAAATTCTTATTTATCAATTTATAAAAATTTATATTTTTAGCAGAGGCCAAGAATCTGTATGTGATAGTACATACTAGTCCCTCCTTGTAAGTATCTAAGACATCTAAACAAGGCCATGGCAATCATGTTCCAGGTGGAAAGTACCTTATATTTATTAAAGAAAACCTTAGAAACCAACTGGTTAGAGAAGATGGGGTAATACAAGATAAAAAGAAACAGTAATGATGTCTGACGAGATGCCCACTCAACTATAACATGAAAGCCAGGTAGTGTGATTGACAAGTGATCACTGTGTCCCTTAAGCACGTGGTAAAATGAAGCCCAGTGTTACAAGCTTATTGAGAGACTTACACAATGAAACTAGACCTCTTATGTTCAGTGCTTTTTCCTGTGAAGTATACAAAGATGAACGAGTCAGGTGTTATACTCAGAAAGCTGATAATGGAGTAGGCGAATGAGCTTTATAGTAGTTTCTTGTCTCATCACTACAGAAGGATACCTGACAAAAGCAGCTTAAGGAAGGGAGGGTTTATTTGACTTGCACTCCCCAGGAATATGATTCATCATGGGAGAGAAGACAGTGACAGTGGGAACAGGCAGCAGTTTGTCACACTGAGTGAAGGCAGCAGCTGGTCACACTGGGTGCAGGCAGCAGCTGGTCATACTGGGACTACCATCAAGAAGCAGAGGGATGCATGCTTGAGCTCAGCTTCCTTTCTTCTCTTGGTTCAGTTCAGAATCCCAGTCCATGGAACGGTGCTGCCCCACTAGAGTGGGGTGTCTTCAGTTAACCTCATCTAGAGGATTAACTACAGACAAGCCAGATGCTCTCTCTAAGGAGTGAAAATCAGTGCCAGTCATCAAAACTTATTCACTGGGAACTTTATGGCTATATATATCACTCTTCTGACCCTTGTACCTATATTAGGCTCTCTGCTTTCTATTTTCTTTTCTTTTCCAGAGCTGACAGCATAATTTATTAATATATCACTCTTCTGACCCTTGTACCTCTGCTTTCTATTTTCTTTTCTTTTCCAGAGCTGACAGCATAATTTATTTTTTCCATTTTTTATTTGAATTGGAAACAAGATTGTTTTACATGTCAATCCCAGTTCCCTCTCTTTCCCCTCCTCCCCTCCCAATCCCCCCTACCACTAAAACCCTACCTATCACATACCCTTTTTGCTCCCCAGGGAGGGTGAGGCCTTCCATAGGGGGGTCTTCAGAGTCTGGCACATCCTTTGGGATAGGGCCTAGGCCCACCCCCATTTGTCTTGGCTCAGGGAGTATCCCTCTATGTGGAATGGGCTCCCAAAGTCCCCACCTATGCTAGTGATCTACTATAGGAGGCCCCATGGATTTCTGAGGTCTTCTCACTGACACCCACGTTCCTGGGGTCTGGATCAGTCCCATGCTGGTATCCCAGCTATCAGTCAGGGGACCAAGAGCTCCCCCTTGTTCAGGTCAGCTGTTTCTGTGGTTTTCACCAGCCTGGTCTGGACCCCTTTGCTCATCACTCGTCCTTCTCTGCAACTGGATTCCAGTTCAGTTCAGTGATTAGCTGTGAGTGTCTGCTTCTGCTTCCATCAGCTACTGGATGAAGGCTATCGGATGGCATATAAGTCAGTCATCAATCTTATTATCAGGGGAGGGCATTTAAGGTAGCCTCTCCTCTGTCGCTTAGGTTGTTAGTTGGTGTCATCTTTGTAGATCTCCAGACATTTCCCCAGTTCGTAATTTCTCTTTAAACCTAAAATGTCTCCCTCTATTATGGTATCTCTTATCTTGTTTTCTTCTATTCTTCCCCTGACTCAAACTTTCTGATCCCTCATGTCCTCCACACCCCTCCTCTCCTCTTCTCATTCTCCTAGCTCCCTCTACCCCCATCCCCCCTTGCTCCCAATTTGCTCAGGAGATCTGACCCTTTCGCCTTCTCTGGGGGACCATGTATGTCTCTCTTAGTCGGCTCTCTGCTTTCTAAGTGTAAAATGTTATCAGCCCAGATTCAAAAGTCCCCAAATTCTCTGGCAGTTTCACCTCTATTGTAAAGCCTTTTCTGTGACACAAGACTATCTCTGAACAATGAGCCCCCATAAAATGAGAAAAAAATACATAGTTCTAATAAATATTGATGCAGGAAAAGCATTTCTGTTCTGAAGAAGAATAGAAGATTGATCAGGAATGATTGGAGTGAAGCAAGACAGAAACACAGAAAGGCAAAGAGTAAACCCTGAGACTCCATGTCCAGCATCTGGCATTCATGATGGAATGTTCTGAGCTCCAGAGGGCTTGGGTAATCCCCCTCCTCCTTCAGCTCTGCACTCTACAACATAGACAGCTTTTCTCTTTGGCTTTACTGCATTCCATTAGCTTCCCTCAGTGGGAATCTCATGATTCTGGAATGTCTAACATCCTTAGATCTCCATTGAAACTTAGGCTTTACCTTTGCAGATTCAAGCAGTAGCCTTTTAGGGCATCCTTGCCAAATGCTAATCCTGCCAAACACTGCCTAACCTGGGCAGCTCTCTGGAGACATGGTACAAGGCTTGTCCTTGGAATCAAAATTAGGTTGTCATGTTTGGCAACAAATACCTTTAACTACTGACCTATCTTGCCAGCCCAGGTAAGACATTCCCTAATTAAGGAACTAAATGCATTTGTTTTCAAGTGGTTTAATTCAGCTTGTTGATTGCATACTTGAGTAACTTAATACTGTTTCTAAATGAATAGCCTAATTATCAGATGAAAAATGCAATGCAAATCCAGTCCATAGAGCAGTGGGATATCCAACAATGTTTAATTGTGTTTATGTTGATTAGCTAGTGAATGATGTTGTGCCAGAACACCTTGAAACATCGGTTTCTTAGTGGTAATTTCATAAGCCTTACCATGAAGTTACACCAAAATATAGTAATTGGTAGAACTGAACATCCCAACAGAATATTTGTGTTTCAGAACTTTCCTGCCTCTTGCAAGAGTGGTGTATCCAAGAGATTTCATTTACATTTCTTTTAAAGAAATGTGTAAATGCTATGTTTTGATTTAGTTATTTTAAGTTCTTCATATGTAGTCAAATGCTCTACCGCTAAGCCATACACCCACTGGAAGTCAAAATGTGGTATTTTCAAGAATAAATTTGTAGTTATGGTCTAGTTGTAAACAGTTGGGCTACTTGAATATTCCAGGTATTCAGTGAATATTCAGAAAGAAAAACCAGCAAATCCAGTGGGTTTTTATATGAGTGGATGAGATCTGTGTTTGTAGAATTATCCTGGCACACTGGGCATAGCACTGTCCTTTTCTTCCGAGACTCAGATTTTATGGATATGGAAACTGCACAATAGAGTACCTTAGTTTGCAAATCCTAGTAAGATTGAATACGCCTGGTTTTTAAATGGTCACACACTTGAACTGGGTTCCCAAACTGAGCATTGTCATTTCCCTTGGGTGCTGTCTTCGAATCTGGCACCACCACGCATCCCTTCTGCTAGATCAACCGTATGATCTGTTACTTTGCCACAGCTCTATAGACAAGGTCTGAAACTTATCCTGTCACCCTGTATTACATATAACCATTGTATCTACACCACCATAGTCAAGGAGTATTAATTATTTAATTAGGTTCTTTTTGAGAAACATGATTTCTTTCTTTTTTTTTTTTTTTTTTTTTTTTAGAAAGATTTTTTTTTTTTTTTTTTTTTTTTTTTTTTTTTTTGAGACAGAGTTTCTCTGTATTGTTTTGAAGCCTGTTCTGGAACTTGCTCTGTAGAGCAGGATAGCCTCAAACGCATAAAGATCCACCTGCCTCTGCTTCCCAAGTGCTGGGATTAAAGGCTTGAAGCATCAATGTCTGGCTAAAACATGATTTATTTCTGATTTAACCAGTGATAACATGGCTTTAGAACTAAGCCTATAAATGCATTTATGAAGTAAAGATAAAACAAACTACGCATGGTTACTTTCCATTGCTACTCAAGACCTTCTATGATTTTGAATATGGTTTCCTACCAGGGATGGCTATATCTACTACTTAATTCTATTCATGAATTACAGTCAGATATTTCACTTCTTCACTTTGATCCTCTTAGGATATCAATGACACTTATAACCTGCCTCAGATATTAAATTTGCTCAATGCCACTATCTTTTCTCTTGAAGGTTTTGCTTCATTCACTGCAAATTCCTAAAAACTCATGTATATTATGCTTTTCTTTGAACATCAAAAAAATCTGATGACTGCATTTTTTCTACTACCCTCCATTATAGGGTCTTTCCCTTCTGATGTTTTATCCTCTTAATCTCTGGCCCTGGATAACTCTTTGCACAGCTGCTGTTCTGCTGTATGACTTTTTCCCACTCAAGCTAGCTGCATACCTGCTTCATAGTGCTAGCACCCAGAGAAAAACCTGTACATTCCCTGCCTTAGGATTTCCAAAATTCATTCTGATTTGACTCCTCTCAGCACTTCATGTAGAAGGGAAGCTATCATAGCAGAAACAAAGAATGGATTTCCTCAATGGAAATCACACAACCAAGACTAACTTATAAGGGACACAAAGCAAATATCCTGAGACCCAAGGTGACCTCCAATCCTGAATCATCCATTATCTGGGTAGATTACACCTTTGCAGGGGACAAAGACATAAAACAGTCTAAGCTGGCTCTCTAGATCACAGCAAGTTCAGACCACCACACAAAGCCTGTTTCTTGGCAGAACAGTTTCCTCTATGTAGAAACACAATTTGCTCAGAGACCAGAGGAGGAAACACTTGCCAAATAAGACTCTAAAGAGTCATCAGATTTGCTCTTTCCCCAGAAGTCCCCAAATGTCACTCTTCCTGTTTGTCAGAGCCAAAAAGTCATCCTTGATTTTTCCTTTTTGAACGTAGATCTGTTGGCATCTAGAACCTCCTCCACCTAGTTTTCCCCTCCACAGAAATGATCTACAATGCTCCCTACCCTCACACCCAAAATGAGCCTCTTGAAGATTCCTCCAAGTTACCAAACTATGGAGAGTGGTTTGTTGGCCTAGTCAGTCATATTCAAGGTCTGCACAAGTTGTGGATGACAATATTAGTTGGTTTTTCTCGAGTGTGAAAACTATATGAATAGTGAAAGGTACAAGAAGAAATGAACAAATGGGAAGTTCTGACCAGGAAGGTCAGTAGGCATCCTGAAGCTAGATAGACAGACATCTAATATGACAGATACCTGAGCAAGAGGCACAGTAGTAGGCCTCATATCTTCCCTTCTCCCTGCTGAGCACTAGCAACCAGCAAAGCAGTAATCACTGATGGTGATTTTTCACCTGACCCAAAAGAAATTAAATCCAATAATCAAATAGTGCTATTTGTGACTGAACGAAGCCTCCTCTAATAGAAGTAAAAATTGGCATGAACAGTGCCAGTCTATTCACATAAGAATTCCTTTCTTAGCAATTTATAGTAATTTTTGAAGTACTATTCAGAAGGAAAAGGAGCTGTTATACATATTAGTAGTGATAGACATTTGGAAATTATTTCCATCTCATTTCCTGGAAACTTAATAATAAGTGTAATTTATTCTGAAAGATATATATTCTGAGAGGAATTATTAATGTTCTTATTGTTAGGAGATCTAGAACAAACTCTGTCTGGCTCTTTGAACTGTAAGAGCATGGGTGGGCTAGTCATACCCTCTTGAAAACTGAATAAAAACTGGATTCCTCTTTAAGTGATACCCCTTAGATGGGATTCTTAATTAAAATTCTTTATCAAATAGCCGCAATGAAGATGATTTCCATTTGCTCTGCATAAAATCACCCTCGAAAAAGTGTCTTCAAAGAATGGTATGAAGGTGAGAATTTGCTAGCTTCATGCTTCAAAAATATTGGCACCCTAACAAGCTAACAAGCAAGGGAAAGAATCGTGAGCAGGTCATTGGAAAAATGCTGGGAAAGAACTAATCATCTGTGCCCTCCCTAATCTACAAAATGGTGTCTACATGTGGACATTTAATGATACTATTTGGTGACTGAAAAATTACTTCAAAGAAAAGAATGATGATGGTTTTGTGGTGGTTTGGGTTGTGCTTCGAAGTTACAGAGAGATTTAGTCATAGGATTCTGTGTTTTGTTTTTCTTGAAGATCAAAGTATCTGTGTCTTCGGGAGGTGACTGTATTCGAACATACAAACCAGAAATCAAGAAAGGAAGCTACAATAACATTGTTGTCAATGTCAAGACTACTGTTGCTGACAATCTCCTTTTTTATCTTGGAAGTGCCAAATTTGTAAGTCTGATATTCAACTTTTTAAAAGCTACTGTGTATGTGTAGAGGTCAAAGGTTAATCAATGAGGAAAACACATAGAGTCTAGCAACATGACCCCTAAAGTGTATAATGTAGATTTCATGTCTGAAATCTCAGAATCTTAGCTGACAAATGTTTGTAGTTTGAGTTAATTTAGAAAGATAAACAAGTGACAACTCTTTCCCCCATCCAGTCACATTTCTTTTTATTTATCAGCATGCTAATATTTGTTTTGCATTATATTTTCAGATCTAGCCATTAATGAAAAAGTCTAATAAGAATCAAAGATTCTTTTCTATTCTCAAATTAAGAAATAATAATAATATTTCGTATTAATGAAGTTCAAAGAACAAATTGTACACTATTGCAAACCAAGGCAAACCTTGCAATATGTTGAATTTAAGATTCAAACTGAAATTACACAAGTTGTGCATGCAAACTCTCACCCTCCAAATTTAAAGTGATTTCTCATCTTCCAATGTGAATAAGGTGTTTAAACAGACTGGTTGTATCATAAGTTAACATTTGCTATTCATGTTGGGGAGCCTGTCTCACCTTGTGTTAAAAATTACCACATCTACCTCTGATAAAACAGTGTCTTGGTATAACTATGAAGAATTCTCAATCCAGTTATTTTACATGTTACTGGAAAACACTTCACACTTCTTCTTTCAGTTATTTTCATATTTCTTTGATCTAGATTGACTTTCTTGCTATAGAAATGCGTAAAGGCAAAGTCAGCTTCCTCTGGGATGTTGGATCTGGAGTTGGCCGTGTAGAGTATCCAGATTTGACCATCGATGACTCATATTGGTACCGTATTGAAGCATCGAGGTAAATTCTCAGGAAAGAGTAAGATAACTGGATGGCAATGTTTTGAAGTAAATTCCTAGCTCATGAGAAAAATTCTGTGGCCATTTCAATATGAGTGTCCATGTGTGCAAATGTTATCTACTATATGTATAAATGTGTGCAAAAGTGCATTTGTCATTCCTCTTAGGAAAAGACATGTATTCAAGATTTAAGCCAGCCAATTTAACTCCTTAATCTGTTTTCTGCTAAGAGATGGCATGGATCAAGAAAAGCTGTCCCAGACATCTTACCTCACCTGAGGAGACAAAAAGAAAAAATACAGCTACTTGTTCTTATTAAACATACAAAAGAGCATAAAAATGCCCATTATTATTATTGTGTGCTCAGTTCTCCTTCTAGTTACATCTAGTAACTATGACCTTGGGCCTATTCTTCATCAAAATACTGGGTCCCCTATCTAACATGGAAGATTCACCCATACCATTTTAAATGGGGATGGAAAGGAAGGAAGGATAAAGCCATGCTCACAGCCATGTTACTGTTGGAGTGATTGAGGACTTTGCTTGGTTTAAAGACATTTATTCTCACAAAGTACCGTTCAATCAGAAGAGACTCATTCTATTCAAGAACACAAATCCATTCTTTGTTCCCACATAGTTCACTTAGCTCTGCCTCCTCAAAGAGAAAGTCTACCAAAATGAGACAGAAGGGAGAGGGTTATAAGGAACTTTTGTTATGACTGCTTGTCTCAGAAGAGAACAGATTTTCATATTTAACAACTCATGGAAATCAATCACTTAAAAAAAGAAAATGAAATAAAATGATAATGGCTTTCAAAGTTTTTAAAACTGAATTTAAAAGAATATTTCCACAACTCATCAGACTAGCATTCTATACATTAAGATGGTATGCCACAACAATGAAACCTACAACTCTGGGAAGACTACTTCAATGAATTAAGGTCCATTATAACGAAATTGAGGCAAATTACGAGACTTATGCCGGGCATTGGTGGCGCACGGCTTTAATCCCAGCAGTTGGGAGGCAGGGGCAGGCATATCTCTGTGAGTTTGAAACCAGCCTGGTCTACAAGAGAGAGTGCCAGGACAGGCTCCAAAGCCACAGAGAAACCCTGTCTCGAAAAACAAAACAAAACAAAAAATTTATGTAGCTTGTGCTGTATAAGGGTGGCTCACTAGGACTCTATTTGCCAAATTATATTCTCCAAAATACTAAAGGAAGTCATAAAATTTAAGTTTCGCATCTTATAAAGTGAAAAATTATTGTGTAAAGCAACAAGGAAATGCTGTCTTTATAAGTCTATCCCCTAACTGATGCTGTCCTTTCTTATCGATGGCCATATGCAGAATTAGGTTATACTTTTCTTTCCTTGTTTGAATGTGATGGTAAGATCAGATCTTTATAGTGGCTTGAGAAATGCTGACTTCACAAGACTTAGACCTGAACACACAGTTCGTGGAAGTATTCCAACAAGACATTTTATCTTATGTCTTTGAAATCTGAAGGTGATAGACTATGATTCATATCTCATTTTTTGTATTTTCTTTGCTTTTCTTCCAATGCACATGTATGCTTGAAGAACGGGAAGAAATGGTTCTATTTCTGTGAGAGCTCTAGATGGACCCAAAGCTAGCATTATACCCAGCACCTACCACTCGGTGTCCCCTCCTGGGTACACTATTCTAGATGTCGATGCAAATGCAATGCTGTTTGTTGGCGGCCTGACTGGGAAAATAAAGGTAATGGGCTTCCTCCCATCCATTCTCTCCCTTTGTAGACAACTAAGAGATGCTGTGGAGAACGCTGAAAACACCTGCCCATGTTTTCTTAACTTGTGTTTGTGAAACCATCAATTTAAAGATCTTTCTGCTCTGATGTTTGGTTTCTCTTTGTTCTGCTTTATTTTTTGAGACATGGTCTTACTGTGTAGCCAAAGCCTGCTTGGAACTTGTAATCCTCCTGTCTCAGCCTCCCAGCTGTTACGATGACAGGTATGTGTCATAACACCCAACAGAACTTCCATCTTTGAGTTGTGAACATTCAAATCTGGAAGTACCATATTTCTAAGCCTTCAATAGTAGTTTATTCCTTAACTGTGACATTCATTTTTGGCATTCTTTGTTTTTTCAGTCACTTCAAAAGCAAAGTGTTTCTTAAATATGCATCATTTTTGCAATCAATTTATGATTTATAAAAGTGAAGTGCTATAAAGTTCATACATCTAATTAAAAGATTTGTGAATCTTCAGGAAATATCATAGGGGCCATACACTTTCAAATCATGATCTACTTTAAAAGTTTTGAGTTGCTCTTCTCCTCATCCTTTGGAGCAACACACTTAATATTCATAATTGCTTCATGGCAGGTCCTTGTGCATTTCAAATTGCAGAGTGCTTGCATCTGAAAGAAGCTTATGTTAATTAGATGGAATTAGGTGTGGAAATTCGACCTGTGGGTGAGATGCAGGAACACAACCAAATATAATGGATAATCCTGAGCTTGTCAAAAATCACCCTGGGATGAGACTAGCAACAAAGTGTAAAAATCCAGGGTGACCCCATATTCTTGAGAACACAACTCTCATAGAGCGTGAAGCTAATTTGTTGGCTGCATGCAAAAAACATGACTCTAAAATATGGGAGTTGGTTCCACAGCTGCACACTCACCCTCACTCCATAGAATTACTTGTGAATATATATATAGTACATAGCAATATGTAGTCATATTGACAACTTTCTATGCTCCCTGAAAGAAAAATTAAGGTCATGAATTTTGAAATAATATCTGGTTTGCATTTCTCTCTCTCTACCACCTATCAAATATGCCCTTAGGTAAAACAGGCATGTAACCTTTTGGGCTTCAGTGTTCTTCACTACAAAAGAGCAGTGAGAACATATGCCTCACTTGCACATTAACAGAAACAATAGGAAAGTCCGATAACATTTTATAATCCTCACTATATGCTAAGTCACATTCAAACAATTTACTTAATATTATTTAATATTATTTAATATTCATATTTAATATAAAATGTCTTAATGTATTTTGGCTACTCTAACAAACTATCATAAAACCAAGTTGTATGTAATCAATAAACAAATTTTTCACTGTTCTAGAAACTGGATCAAGGTACCAATAGGCTGGTATTTAATGTGAGCCCTTTAGACATGTAAGGCTCTGTCTTGTAATGTGCTCCCATATGAGAAGGGGTAATTGTGTCTCCTTGAGTCTTTTGTGCAAGGTCACAATCCCACTCATGGAGACCCTACCCTCATAATGTAACCACCAGACAGGAGACTCTTCAAAAGCTCAGTGGCCAGCTAGCCCAGTTTGTGCAGCAGCAAACAACATGGAGGCCCCATTTCAAACAAGGTAGAAGGTGAGAACTGACAAGGATGTCTTCTGGTCACTACACTGGTACTCATACACCTGTGCTCACACATAGGAATGCAGCATGTGCACACATGTGTATACACACACACACACACACACACACACACGAGAGGAAGAGAGAGAGAGAGAGAGAGAGAGAGAGAGAGATGCACACACTCAAAGCAGGGTCTAAATTAAAATCCTCCTTATTTCATAATGAAGAAGGCTAAAGAAGAAAGAACTCAAATATTTTGAACATGTTACATAATCATTAGTGAAAGTAATTAGATTTGAACATGGAGTAAGAAGCCACCACTCCTAATCTCAATTAACATCTATTGGCCTTTGTCCCCAGTTCCTCTGTGTGGTCATAGTACTGGGAAGAGATGCATGTTGTTAATGTTAGAACTAAAGCTATGACCAGAATACTTCAGCTTCTCTTCACCATCTTCTCTCTTTTTTTTTTCAAGACAGGGTTTCTCTGTGTAGCTTTGGAGCCTATCCTGGCACTGTCTCTGTAGAGCAGGCTGGCCTCAAACTCACAGAGATCCCCCTCCTCTGCCTCATGAGTGCTGGGATTAAAGGCGTGTGCCACCAATGTCCAGCCCATCTTCTCATTTTTGTGAAAAATCTCCATCTGCTCTTTTTACTAGATAATTCACATAGAGGTAGACTTCTGGTAGCTGTGACCAAATACATGACAAAACAAAAACAACAAATTGAAGAAGGAAGGGTTTATTTTGGCTCATGGTCTGGGGGTACACCCATCCTAGAGGGTAGAGGAAGGCATGGTTGCAGGGGTGTGAAGTCGTTTCTCCCACTGATTTCAAAGTCAGGAACAGAGAGAAGAGGAAGCTGGTATTCTATTTTCTTTCTCTCTCTTTTTTTTTAAATTCTGTCTGGGAACACACTTGTCCTAATGTAATTTTTTTATGCTGTGATAAAGACCACGACCAAAATTAACTTGGGAGACAAAGAGTTTATTTAGCTTGCATGTCTGCTCATAGTGCAACCCTGAGGAAAGTCAAGGCAGGGACTCAAGCAAGAAAGGAACTTGAAAGCAGAAACTGAAGCAGAGGCTTACTGACTGGTTCCCCACATTGTTCAGTCTGCTTTCTTACGCAACAAAGACCACCTTCCCAGAAGTGGCACAACCTCAGTGAGCTGGGCTTACGCACATCAATTATTAGTCGAGAAAGTGCGGGACAGACTTGCCTACAGCCAATCTGATGGAGGAGTTTTCTTAACAGCGGTTCCTAATCCCAGATAACTGTAGTTTGTGTCAAGTTGACACAACATATCCAGGATACCAGGCTATGGGATGGTGTCACCAATATTTAGGGTGGGTCTTCTCTGTTCACTTAAACCTTTCTGGAAATACCCTAAAACACACTCAAAAGTGAATTTCCATGATGGCTCTAAATCCTTTTTAAGCTGGCAACGAAGTTAACCATCACAGCTAGCTTTGGAAATTTCTGATACAGGGAGCAAACTATGCCACTTACTTGTACTAAGTCAGGGCTGAGACAAGAGGTGTTTAAACAAGGTTTTCTAGCTTGGACCTGGTCATTTACCTCCTTTGTGAATGTAGCGTTCACCAAGCCGAAGACCTGCCTCTGTGACAATGACACCAGAACTGACATTCAACAGATGATGATATGAAAGTCCTCTTAGATCCCAGACTCCCTGCTGGGGATAGCAGCAAAGAGAAGCTTTGTGGATACATATGATCCTGTCTTATAGAGTTGCTATCTTTGTCCTCATTCTCTTGAGATGGAGGCCTACTGTCAGCGAATGAAAACTCTATCAGCAATTCTCTACCTGTTGGTCTTGGCTCCTTAGGGGTCACCTAAGGTCATCAGAAAACACAGCTAATTACACAATGATTCATAAGAATAGAAAAATTACAGTTAAGAGTAGCAATGAAAATAATTGTATGGTTGAGGGCCACCACAACACCAGAAACTGTACTAAAGGGTCACATGATGAGGAAGGTTGAGGACTACTTCCTTAGATTAATACTGTTGCAGTTTAATTCATGTATATGATATAACCTACATCACTAAGATCTCTATGACCTCTCGGAAAAATATCTTAGTGTGTTGTAGGGCAGATTTGCCCAAGGTAAACAATATCCACGTAATACTTCTTAATACACACTTGTCTGCACTAGGCATTGGATTTAGAAGCAGAAATAATCTATTTCTTACGATGATCCCAAGTGGCAGGCATCTGTGGAGAAGCAGTAGCTAGCCTAAGGTTATAAGCTGGAAAGTCATTTATTTCTGCCACAAGTATGCATGGGCTTTCCATCCTCAGACTCAACGAATGAAGAATGAAAAATATTTGAAAAATAAAACTGCACCTACATTGAAAATGTACAGATGTTTTCTCTTTCTCTTTTGGTAAATAATATAGTGTGACAGCTAATCACACAGAATTTATATTGCATTGATTTAGGTTTATTATGTAATCTAGAGATCGTTTGAAGTATATGGAAGGATGTGTGTATGTTATGTAAAATACTACACCCTTTTTTTGTCAGATACTTCAGAATCTAAGGACTATACATTGTAGAGAAGTTATTAACAAAACACTAGGGGATAAAAAAGGACAATTGCTTTTGCTAATAGAGATAATACATGTAAATGAAGTTCCATTTTAGGTAATATGTAGATAGCCAAGACTCACTGATGAAATATCTGAGCTTTTCCCTTTTTGACCTATCCTGTAGTAGCTTCGAGGGCATACTATGACATAAAAAAACTGTCAAGATTGTCATACAGAACAGATAAGAGCTATTCTGCCTTTTGTTGCGAATAAGTCACAACTACTTCAATTTGTGAAATCCTTGACTCTAACAAATATCACATGTGTCCCTGCAGAAAGCCGATGCTGTACGTGTGATTACATTCACTGGCTGTATGGGAGAAACATACTTTGACAACAAACCTATAGGCTTATGGAACTTCCGGGAAAAAGAAGGGGACTGCAAAGGCTGCACTGTCAGGTGAGTTTAGATGAGAAGATCTGTTCTGTGCATCACACAGTTTGCATTTTATTCTGTATCCATCTATGATGATGTAGAATAGGGTTGATGATGCTTTCTATGGATTTACAAAAAGTGAGTGAGACTTCATGTCCCGGCCCAACCTGTGCAGGCATTTTCCAAGGACCTTGAGTGTGCCCTTCAATGCATTTACACAGCCATGTGTTTTCATAAAATCTGCACAGATGAGCAATTTGAACCCCAGTCAATTAAGACTAGCCTCTTCCTATATGCCAGTGTCTATTCATGGCCAGGAGAGTTTGCTTATCTATTAATGACTTCTGGGCATAATTATTATTTTATAAGGCGAGTACTCCCCAAACTGATTAAGCATACATGCAGAAACCTAGCTTACATTTCTTTTCCTGTAGGACATTTCAAATTGACATCTGATCCTACAGGTGCTTTCAGGGATAACCGAAGGACTTTGAGATGCTGCTTAAGGAGTGTGTGGCAGGGGGATAACAGGTACAAAGTCAGTGCAGGAAGAAGTGCCATAATACATGGCATCAAATGTAAAAGAAAAAGAATCCAGAACAAACATGATTCTAAAGCATATCCAGCATAAAGTGCATATGCAAGAAATAATAGTTTTATATGAACCTGAGTAGAGAGTATAAAAAAAAGACCAAAAAGTAGGAAATTTCACAGCATAAAAATATAGAACCCCCTAGTCATTTGAGTCTAAAAATTATTTAATTATAGTAAATCTCTGGAGAATACATTAAATACCTGGAGGATTGATGTAAAAATGCATAATAATTCAGAAGTACTAAGCCGTTTGTGCTTTTATTTCAAATTTAAAGAGCGCATGAGCATTTCCAAACCCCAAGTCCCATTAACACAGCAAAGCATATTGTACTTTTTGTTTTCTAAATAGCTCCTAAATTTGCTCAAAAAGAGTCTCCAAAATACCTCTGTTAAGTTTTGATACCCTTCTTCTGGTATCACAACCTTATCAACATGGTGTTAAGACGGGGTGAAAGTTTGACATACTTAACATGGTTTTATACAGAACATGTTGACATAGAATACGGGAAGCTGTCTATAAAATTCTCTCAACTCACCAAAAACAATGCAAAATTTGCTTGTACATGCCTCTAATCCCAGCACCAGGAATGCAGAGCTAGGAACATGAGATACAATGCAAAGTTTGCTTGTACATGCCTCTAATCCCAGCACCAGGAATGCAGAGCTAGGAAGATTATAAATCCAGCACCAGCCTGAGGCATGAGGTCCAGTCTTGCCCTAAACATTTCTTTGCTAGTTTTCTAACTGTGATTTTTAGAAGATTATTAACAATAGTAAAAGAAAATCTTTCAGAACTATCAAACCACTTGACATTGCAGTATGATAATGTCATCTACAAATGTGTTGGGTCACATTCATCTTGAAATACATGTAGCCACACACCACAGGATGAATGTGCCTGATTATCCAAAAACCAAATCATCATCTGTCATGGACAGTTTGTAAAACTACCACATTATCATCTGTGTAAAAAAAAAACTTCAATATGTAATGTATTATCTGGAGAATTTATACTTCCAACTTTCTGAGACTAGGAAGAATTCAATTCAAACTCAGTCATCAAAAGGTGTATCACAAGGAGGGGAAAAAGATTAATAAGCAAAATTATAGAGCACAACTTTAAAAATCCCTTTGAATGGGGTATAAAGTGTAAGTCTGGAAATCTACTTTGTGGAGGAAGCAGCCTACCTCCCTAAGGTGAACTGCATGTGTCAAGCCAAGTAGAATGTGGAGAGTCCAGAGAGAGTTGATGCCCAGTTCTCTCCCATAATGTATTTGACTAAGCCCCACCTCCATGCAGTATTGACCCTCCTGTTTAGTTTGGTCTCTATCACTGATAATAAAACACCATGACTAAAATGACTTGGGAATGAAAGGGTTTATCTCAGCTTACATCACAGTCTATCATTAAAGGAAGCCAAAGCAAGAACTCAAGCAGGGGAGGAACCTAGAGGTAGGAACTGAAGAAGTCACAGAGGAGTGAGTGTTGCTTACTGGATTGCTCCCCATGGCTTTCTCAACTTATTTTCTTATAGTATCCAGGATCACATGCCCAGGGAAGGGAAAAGGACATCCCACATCAACCATTAATCAAGAAAAAACAAACAAACAAAAACAAAACAAGAAAAGCATGGGCTTGACCATGGGCCACCCTGGTGGAGAGATTTTCTCGGTTGATATGATTTCTCCCCAAATGACTCTTAACTTATTTCAAGGACAAAATACTAATTAGGACACCTTCCTCATGCATCTATCTGGCAAACTACCCTTATCTTTTAAAGTTCTATGTTTACATACAAAATTTCCAAAATATAGAATTGTTTAAGTATCTTTTTGCTTTGTGAAATTACTTTGATTAGCGTTGCTGTTGTTCTTTAATACGCTTTGATTTTATAGTTGCATAAGTTCTGAGTGGTCTCCTGAAGCACTGTTGTCCCAATTGACTGTTTATTTGTAACAATAATATTTATAGAACTCTAGGTATTGTTCTTTGTTTTCCTTTGAGAAAACATTGTTGCATTTTTACATAAAGACCAATCATGCAACTTAAAGAACAAAATTGATTTTGTGAGAAAGATAAAAGATAAGTCTACAGGAGATAGGCTGGGAACAGGAGGTAGAGACATTAGAATGTCAGTCTTAGGAAGTTGCTATTTTAGATAAATAATATAAAGGATGCAGTTGTAATGCTTGGACTATCAGTTGGGGAATAACTCATTTTTCTTAAATATAAAATGCCTTATTAGGATTTAAATACAAAAACTGGTAGAAAAATGCATTTATCTAAGCATAAAATTACAATGAAATTTTAAGTACAATATACATTCATTTCTGCACTGACCGTTCATAGGATGTGGCTGGAACCTACCAGCAGGCTTATTCTTTACTGACTTGACCAGACACACAGGTCTAGCACAGAAACAAAAGCCAAAATTAGGTACTCTGTGTTTATTACACATAAAGGTCTTAGCACATTTCCTTTAAAAGTATGATCAAAATAGACAAGAAATTGATATAATGTTACATGTTGAAGTATAACATATACCTAAATGAATTAACTTTTTCCACCTCCAAATTCCAAGCAGAATTTCCCTTTTCTTACTAATATCAGTAATGAATTGAATGATGGTGGCTCTTCTGCACCTCTATGTTGACTCACTACTAGCCTGAAACTCTTTCCCGTAAATTGTCTTTTGCTTGAGTGAGATAATGTTGTTAGTGTTGGAAGGAACATTGAAATCTAAAAGTGACTTAAAGTTTTATGTCATGCTTGGAAAATTCCAACATGAATTGTTAAATGGCTTTTGTGAGCTTCCCCAGCAGTCCACAGAGTATCTGATATCTAACGAACAATGAGAAGAAGATAGGAATGCCAGAGCTTAAATTTTGTTAAGTTTTGTATAAAAAATAAACTGGTACTTCTCTTTTGAGTCTAGAATTGTATTGTGAGATTTTTGTTGTTTGAGGTAATATTATTTTATTTATTTATTTATTTATTTATTTATTTATTTTGGATTTTTCGAGTTAAGGTTTCTCTATGTAGCTTTGTAGACCAGGCTGTCCTTGAACTCACAGAGATCCACCTACCTCTGCCTCCCGAGTGATGGGATTAAAGTCATTCATCGCCAGTGCCCGGCAGGGTAATTTTAACATTACCAGTAAGTAACAATGTCTGGGGACAAAGCACATAAAAAGTGGATGTGATAGACTCTCACAGCCCTTTCCTGAGATGTTCTTAGTACCATGGTGATACAAAGTCCTGGTTAGTGAGATTTGCAAGGGACGTGTATGGAGTCTCTTGTAATAGTCTCTTATCTCTAGCTCAGTACTCCAGAATTTACTGTGCTTTCATGATGAAAGGCTAAACAATAGGCAAGTTACTATCAAGTATGTGATTGATAAGCTAACTTAGTTCCTCAGTTTCCAAGTTAAGACTTTTTATAAACACCTGGAAAAAATTATCTTTCATCTTATATTTACTGTTTTAATCCTCTCTGACCAAGAACCAAGAGCGAGCCAACTTGTACAAGTGTGAAACAGCTCTTCCTACACAGCCCACTCAATTTTATCCTCTACAATTTTTATCTCAGCCATGAATTCATGAAAACAATATTTTGGGCAATTGTTTTATGACAAAACCATCACACTTTTCATTACACCCTCTACCCTCAAAATCAAAAATGATGACTAATATGCAGATGTTGAAAGTCTAGAAACTCTCCCCATAATGAGATTTATTCTGAAAGAACAACTGATAAATAGATGAGTGGATGTGTGTATAGATATGTAGCTGGATAGATGGATGCATGGTTAGATACACAGTGGCCCACATAGATAGATAAAAGCCAATATTTTTCCAATGTTATATTTATAAGATTTATCTTAATCATTAATTAAACCAGTATTGAACATATATTATCTATGAATCATTTTTCTACATGAGAATCTCCTTCAACCCACAAATGTTTACTGCTATCTATTAAGCAAGGGCTAGCATAGATACTGAGTGTACGACTGCTATAGGTAGGGACCCATAACTTCTAGACAATCTCTTAAAGTCACACATTAATGACGAGCACAAATTTAAAACACAAAGTAAAATGAAGACATCTTTCATTGTCTGAATTTAATTTGTCGAAGAAGAACTTATTGGATGGTGATGATTTAGAGATTGGGGGTCTATATTCTACTATGCTATGTAAACAGGAAGTGTCATAATACATTCAGTCTATCCCAAATTCTAAAGGTGTACACAAATATCACTAAGAAGTGCTTAAATGTTATGTAGTTTTATACCAACTGTTTGCCTAAAAATGCCAAAGTCTAGGTAAAAGATTATGGTCTGGAGTCTAAGATTGTGTTGAGTAGAGGTGGAGGTGAGAAGGACATGTGCCATGATTGAGATAGTTTCTGTCCTGCAGCAGCTTGTCATCCCATCCTAGGAGACAGTCTGGTTCACTGAAGGATGACAGACCAAGCAGGTCAAACTGGTGTGCAATGTCTCTTTTCAGCCCACAAGTGGAAGACAGTGAGGGGACTATTCAGTTTGATGGAGAAGGCTATGCATTAGTGAGCCGCCCCATCCGCTGGTACCCCAACATCTCCACAGTCATGTTCAAGTTCCGGACATTTTCATCAAGTGCTCTCCTGATGTATCTTGCCACACGAGACCTGGTAACATGGAGAATGGGAAATGTTTTTGCTATGTTGTTTTTTGTTTGTTTGTTTGTTTTTGTTTTTGAAGAATACCAATACAATTATTAGTTATTGGTAAAATTATCAGTTAAACATAAAGGGAGTCTATAATGGTTGTGTAGTAGCCAAGAATGATGCAGAAAATGCTTGTATTGTTTCAGTGATGATTTAACCAGGAGACAGCTTAGTCATTATGTGTGTAACTCTTTATGAGAAGCATCCAGTGATAATTTCCCCGTAATAGAATTATGTAGCAACAATCCTAGTTCCTTAGCTTTATTTGAGAGACCTATGCCGAAAGATATTTCTAAATACTCCTTGGCATCATTTGCCTCAGGTCCACATTTCTTTAGTAAATTTATTTGTGGATCTTAACATTTTTCAAAGGAAACCACTTTGCACCACCATCATGAGAGAATATGTCCCAGTAATTTGATTTTGGCCATCTGCACTACAACATCTCACACTCACAAGCAAATAAATAAATAAATAAATAAATAAATAAATAAATAGTAACACTAGTTCTATTTCCGAAATGTGTTTCTGTCACAGAGTGACACATGCAGCACTCTAGCCACAAGGCCCTTTTGTAAACCCCATAAAAAGTGAAAACCCATATATTTCTCTGTATCTAATCACTGGTGTATTTTTACTCTATTAATAGAAGGACTTCATGAGTGTAGAGCTCAGTGATGGGCGCATAAAAGTCAGCTATGATCTGGGCTCAGGAATGGCTTCTGTTGTCAGCAATCAAAACCATAATGACGGGAAATGGAAATCTTTCACCCTGTCAAGGATCCAGAAACAAGGTGAGTTTTTAAAGTAAGAATGCAGTGTGGGCCTTAATCATGCCATCCAAAGCACTATGTACCTAATCAGGAGAAGGGCCTTGCCTGCAATTTTCAGCTACTCACAAGTTCTGGGAAAAAAATTGATACAGTCATTTCTTTGGCTTACATTATAGGTGTCTTGGATTAGATGAGACTGATTGAAGAGCCAAATGGTTCTCTGTCATGTTTTTTTGAAGCCGAGAGCTTAATTTGAAAGCATACAAGTGTCTTACAACTTGTGAAATTATATCCTATGAAGGTTTGGAAAGGTTGTGTGCTTTTCTATTTTGTTGAGATGTTTCCTCTTGTTTAGAATCTGTAGGGTGTTATGATATAACCTTGATCTTCAAAAATGCCAAAAACTGTAAATATGTTCCAATAATTCATTGAGAAAAAATGACATGACATCGGTTATGGTTCTGAAACTTTTTAAAATTGAACATTATTTCATATGTTGATATAAGGGAGTATTTTGATGTTGTTAGAGAATGGGAAATGTACCCTTAAACTTATATATGCTGGCAGACATGCTTATGCATGTGTCCATGTGTATCGGTTTATGTATATGGTAGTGGTGGTGTGTGTGCATTTCTGTGTGTGAGATGCTTAATCTGGGTTTTCAACTCAAGACACTTGGGAGAATGCAACCTCACTTCAGTAATGCCTCTATTAGTTTTATCTGTGAGCACATCTGTGGGGCATTTTCTTAATTACCAATTAATGTACAGTGGCTCTGTGCACAGTAGATGGTACCATCTCCAGGCAGGTGGGCATGCGCTGATTATGAAAAGTAGCTAAATATGAGCCTGGAAGCAAACCAGTAAGTAGCGCTTCCCCATGGCTTCTGCTTCAAGCTCCAGCCTTCAGTGACCACCTCGGCTTTTCTTCATGATTAACTCTAACCTCTAGGTCAAATAAGCCTTTTACTCTCCTAAGTTGTTTTTAGTGAGAGTGATTTATGACAGCAATAGAAAGAAAATTAAAGCAAGATTTGTAATCATGACTCAGATGGATGCCCCGTCTCTTACTTCTCAGTATGGGGTAATGGTGCAATTGGTACTTGGTTGGAATCTGATAAGTTTCTATGTTATGGCATTACCAATAGCCAAACCCAAACTTTTATACCTCTGCAAAAAGAAATAGATGTAATTAATATTGATGATGCCAATGTGATATTTTAAGAAAATTTAGACTTAACTCTGTACCACCTTCCCCCTAACTCTATGTTGAATAAACATTTGCCAATCATCTACTAAGTACTGTGCAAGAACTAAAGAAAATCTGAAGGGAGTCTTTGCCTTCAAGAGACTTAAAGTCAGATGATACAAGAATGGTTAATTGCTGATAGAGTTGTGTATAGTAAAGTAGCATTCTGTCATTGCAAGTGTTTCTAATGCTTCCACAAAATACCAAGACCAAAAGCAACTTGGGGAGGAAAGTCTTTGTTTATTTACCTTACTTTTCCTTAACATCATTGAAGACAGTCAGGACAGGAATTCAAGCAAGGCAGGAACCTAGAGGCAAGAGCTGATGCAGAGGTCATGGAGGAGTGCTGCTTCCTGGCTTGCTCCTCAAGGCTTGTTCAGCCTGCTTTCTTACAGAACCTAGGACCACCCCACCAACTGCAGGGGCAGCACCACCCACAACTGGGCTGGGGCCTCCCAAATCTATCACTAATTAAGAAAATAACCTACAGGTTTGCCCACAGCCAAATCTTACAGGGTCCTTTTTTTCCTCAATGGGGTTTTCTTCTCTCAGATGACTCTAGCTTATGTCAAGTTGATATAAAACTAGCTGGCACATAGTCTCAGAAGAGAACTATGTGAGTGGGAGGGAGAAATCAGCTCTGGGGAGGGCTCCTGAGACAAAAGCAAGGGTGGAAGAGTGGCCTAGCTGAAGAGCACCTGCAGAAATTTCAGAGGAATGCTGCACACTTCCTGGAGCCACTGGAGAACAAGATGTACCAGTTTGAAGCATCATCTCCTCAGAGCAGGAGATGCTTGGAGAAACTCCTTAGGGAAGACAAAGGCTAATGTTACTCTTCAGTTGCTGGTGCTCTGCATTCTTCATCCCCATGTAAGAGAGGCACAGTGCTCACAAGTCATAAGAACTCTGTGTAGTTCAGTAAGAACAGTTAATTAGGTATTTCCCAAACATCTTTACTCACATATATCCAACTACTGCAATAGAAATGTTTCTGCCAGACACATGTTAGCAGACACACTAATAACAACCAGTAATTGTATAGGCTACATGGATGAATGACGGTAGAAAATTACGGAATTATACTTAGATAGCAGGGTGAGTCTCTGCATAGGCCTATGAGCTAAGAAAAGGACTTTAGCCATAGGGGAATTTCACTCCTTGAAGCACACAAACACTGAGAGTAATTAAATGGAAAGTAAATGAAACCATAGAGAAATAATCAGAGAAAGATGAAATGAATCCCTTGGAAAAGCCTAGTGTTAAAGGAGGAAAAGAAAGACTTTCCTCAAAAAATGAAGAGCTGGGCATGGTGCACAGTCTGTATTCACAGCACTGGGGAGTCAGTGCAGCCTGTAATCCCAGCAACAAGAGGGTAAGGAGTTAAAGGTAATCCTTGATTACACAGTAAGTTCAAGCCATGGTTACATAAGATCTTGTCTCAAAGAAAAAGGAAGAAGAATTTGATGATCCTAGATCATAGAATGCTGACGGGAGATAAAAGCAACGAGATTAATCATCAGTGGAAATTTGGAAGCCATAATAATCCTTATTACAAATGGTAGTGTATGATCACAGTGGAGGTTAATAGTGGCTCGTTAGGGTGCAAATGACTGTGGGAAAGTAGGTGTTTAAGAACAAACTGATTCTGAAAGACTGGCTCAGAAGGAGAGAAGGGAATAAAAGACTGACAGTGTGAGGTGGAGTTGGAGGGCAGGTGGCAGAAGGTGAGAGAACATTCTAGTATTCTCCATCTGTTTCTAGCATGCGGTAAATACTTGGTATTTTTTGAAGGAATGAGTGAGTGATTCTTCAGCATGAAGAATGTGCCAGAAGAGAGAAAGTCAAATAACAGAGAGAGGAGTGGTTACTAGTACAGCAGGAGTCCTAAGGAATGAAGGACCCAATCCAAGGCAGGGTGGAGGGAAAGAATCAAAGCAAGCAAAAGGTGCATACTCTGGGGAAATGGACACTCTGAGGTCATTCTCTCCAGATGACGAAGCACAGGAGAAAACAAGAGGTTGGAGGCTGACAAGTTAAAAGGAAAGTTAGATGTGAAATGTAGGGAAGGTTAAGAAAGCACAGAATCCCTGAACTAGGCAGGCTAGTGCTACAAATTCTAAAGATGACACCGTGTTAAGTAAATCCATAGGTAAAACCGGAGTGCGGAATGATTCAACTTCTTAGGAGTATAATTTCCATATATTGTCACCTTGGAAATATATCAATTGCTGTAATTCTCCGGTTACCTTGTGTTTTTTTTATTCTTTCCATTAAAACAAGTAATCAAAAAGTCAAATTACAATACTGTGTAAATGTCAGAGTCATTAAAGACGCATTCCAGTTTATTGTAGCTCAATCACTGCCTGTCAATGGTGCTATTTTTTTCCCACTTCCCACTAAATTTGCATTATTACCTCCTGGGGTCCAGAAATCAGAGGCAACGTTGACAGTCCTGAACCTGTGTGGTGTCTTATGCATCTTTTATGTTCTGCATTTTGAACCCCGTGCCACTGTTGCCAGTATCCGCTTTGCTAAGTTCCTTCTGGGTCTAGAGATGGACTATGGGCTCCCATTCTGCTCCTGCTTCTGACATGCCTCCAGCCGGTCACCATGCAGTCACTCTCGCTTTTTCTTGGGGTCTTCACACAAATGAAGCACACTGCTGCTCCCCTGCTATGTCTCCACAGCATCCCCGTAAAAAGGAATCCATAGCAAGTCCACACACTCCAGTTGCTCAGAAGCTGAATTCTCAGTTTAGCTTAGGAGCTTCTCCTGCCGCATTGTTTTCTGGCCTCAGCCACCCATTTCTCAAATGAAATAAAATATAGGTGTCTGGTGTTCCATATCTTGTTTTGCATATCTAGTGTATCTTCTCTGATGCTTTTAAAGGATTTTATTATTCTGACAGGTTAATGGCCATGAACTATCTTTTATATTAAGGAGAAGAATGTGGAAGCCACAATAGAAAATGAGGTGATGGTTATAAACAAATGATCAAACAAAAGACAAACCAACTCAGATTTCTTATTATAGATGGTTGAGAAATGAAATTTCAGTGGAAGACTATAGTCATTGAACATTGGAAAATTATATACATGACTACGAAGTGAGGGTCACAGTGGAATTTGACACTAGGAAAATGCCAAAAGGAAGGCCACTCCACAGATACCATAGCATCTTTAACATTTAAAAGCTCAGCCATACCGAGTGCTACAAAGATGCAGGATTGAAGAAACCCTTCACATTGTAGAATGGAACGTGGCACACCACTGGTGAACAGTGTGTAAGCTCACCAGCCCGATGAACCAGCTGTTCTTCTCCCTCTCATGAGGTCTGAAACCATAAATATGAACAAATCATTGGCCCAAATTCTTATATCATTTCCATTTTTGAAACTCAAAAGCTGAAAGCAAGTTGAGCATCCATCAGCATGAATATAGACATACATAAATTGTTACAAATATGTATTATAGAATACTACTTCACCACAAAAACTAGCCAACTATTAATATAACACAAATGAATGGATATAGAAATAACAAATGATATAGGTTAGACAAACTGAAGTACATTTTATTAAATTATATGAAAAATGCAAACCCATCTATAGTCACTAAAGTATATGAGTGCTCTGGGTGTCAAGCTATGTCAGAAGATGGGTAGGAAGGTGGAACCACAAAAACTCACAAGAAAACTTTTAGAGGGATAAATAACTCTCACTTTCTTGAAAGGTAATGTATTCCTTGGGTACATGGATATTTCTAATTTTGTCAGACTATACACTTAAAACACAGGCAAAGTATATGTCAACTAGTCAACTATATCTCACCAAAGCTATTTAAATAGAATAAATGGCATATTTATGTAGAATAAGCATATCATTAAGGGTATTGGTTTTATTAGCTATGAATGCTCGGGGGTGACTTCTAGTTTAAGAGACTGACTAGGACTAACAATGCCACCAAATAAAATAATCCATGTATGGTTGAGAGTTCAAAGTTCCCCACTTAAGTTCAGAATATGTTTAGCATTGAAAGAAAATGCTAAATTGGTATCACTTATTGGATGTGAATTTTCAGAAAAATAAAGGCCCAGGCATGAATATAATATAACACAAATATATGAATATAATATAACACAAATTTGAGTTAATATAACACAAATATAGCACATATATATACATATATAGCTATATATTAGGCATGAATATTTTGGGGATATACATACATATATATATATATATATATATATATATGTTAATATAACACAAATATAGCACATATATATACATATATAGCTATATATATAGATATATATATGAGTTTACTCTGTTGCTTAAAACTAAGAGGTGAACAAGGGTGAACAAGGGAAGTAACCTTAGAGAATATGAATATCTCCTAAATATTCAAAGAAATATGGAAAGGGCCAGTGAAATGGCTCAGCAGGTAAAGGGAATTGCTGTCAATTCTGACTCCTCAGCTTGGAATCCACACAGTAAAAGAAGAGAATTGACCCCTAAAAGTTGTCCCTGACCTCCTCACATATGTGTGTATGTGCACATGCACAGACGCACATACACATACTAAGTAAATGTAATTAAACTTTTTTAAGGATAAAGGGGAAGAGATTGAAAATTAGAGGTAAGAAAAGCTAGAGGCAAAAGAAAAAATTCCTACAACAAAATAAACACTAGCAGCATCAAACATTTCACTGAAACTATGATAAGGACTCAGGGTGCTCAAGCGCTGAAAGGTGGGTAGAGATGGAATTCCAGAAGGTTTTAAGATTTGAGGACATCAAGTACTGAGATGAAATGAAGTAAGATCCCAGCAATATAGGAGATTGCTTTTCATCAGTGACTGTATCAGTTGCTTTGCATAGATTGTTGTTTGTTTGTAAAACTGCTGTTCTCTTGACATTCAGATGTACCTCACTCACCTTAAGTCTTGAATGGACCCACAGCCACCACTAGAAGTGTGGTCTCCCAAGTGCACTGAATGGAACCAAAGCTGAGAATAATTTAAGTTTCTGTTTTATTTGGGGAAGAAAAGGATTACCAAGGTAGAAACAGTGCATAACAACACAGAGATGATTGTAAAGTTACATGCTAAGTCCCCACTTTGTGTTTTATGTAATAACAACCTCTTTTCCCTACATACTCAAAAATTGATGGCTAAATGCACCAAATCTTGAATTTTTGTGGGGGTAGCTACTTTCATATTCTATAAATAAAAAATTATCGCAAGCATAGCATTACCTACCAAAAGCTTCTTCACCTCTGGCATTCTTAAGAGCTGCAGGAAAACCCTCATGTCAAGATAGTAAAACTATGCCAGCCTACATCTTTATCAGAGTTAGCTCTGGGACTGGTGAGTTCCATATGAATTATGTTGATGCTCTTTGATTCTTAGATTGGCTTCTAAAACTGCATATACCCTCTCACAGATACAGAGAAAAAGTACATCCAATCATTGGCTTGTTAGTGACAGAGGCAGAATCACATTTCATGAACACCATTAAAATAGCCCCCAAGTCTGCAGAAAAAGACAAGTTTCATGTTCCAGTGAACAGTGCTGCATAAAGCCTTCTTTGTGATCTGCATTTAAAAAAAAAAGGGAACATGTATAGACATCTTAAAAACAATTCCATAATCTGTTTTCTTTAGCTGCCAGACTGGTCTAAGAGGTGTGTGTATATAGAGCTAATTATAAGTTTAAAGATAACTAAATATATTAAAGTAATTAAATTTTTGAATATTGACTTGTTAAATATATCTTAATGGGACAGTCATTCCCTTATGATGGTTTATCTAGTTTGGTTTGGTAATGGACTTTTGTTATGTATGGTGGTACAAGCACATAATCCAGGCCACTCAGGAGGCAGAGGCAGGTAGATTGCTTGGAGTCCAAGGCCAGTCTGGTCTGAATAGCAAGTTCCAGGTCAGTCAGAGCTATACATTGAGAGCCTGTTTCCATGATAGATAGATAGATAGATAGATAGATAGATAGATAGATAGATAGACAGACAGACAAATAAATGAGTTTGAGGTTTGAGGTGTTAATAGGTTTGGGGGTATCTGATTTGGGTCATTTTTATGTGAGGATTGTATTTGAATTTATTGAAGATTTTGATTAGCACTGTAGACTTCAATGGAATTTTGTAATTTGCTATTTTTTCCAAAGAATTGCAAGTCTAAACGATGATGACTGGAGAGACTATAATAACTTTGGATGTTCGAATAGATTTGAGTAGTACCTCACCTGTACCCCTCTATTGGTGCACTGAAGTATATACACATCAGCATACTGAAAGATCTGGGTGGCCAAGCTTTGGGATATATGTTTACTACTGTTTGATGCAGTGTATGTCATGTGTATCTGAACTAGGGACATCCAAGAAACTAACATTCCAAACAGGGAACATTTAGAGAGTCCCTTCTGACTAATTGGTTCAAATTCCAATTTTCAAATCTACACTACTTCAGATCCTCCACCAGGCAAAGATGCAGAAGCAAATTTGTCACGTAAATGAGCTGATGTCTCAATATATATCAAGGACCCACAACATATGACATACTTGAAAGTTAGATCTAAGCTAAGTGTATAGCATGCCCAGGAAGCATGTCACTCAAGAGGATCCTAACTTGACCCTTAAGAAATGAGTGAGGAAACCTGGTATATAAGAATTCCCATTTGTTTTCTAAACAATGCAGTCTCAGCAGAGATGTGAGTTCTTTCCTCTTCCTTCTCTCTGTCTACATTCTAGTCCTTTCCACATTAGAAAATCCTTTGAGATCTATGAGAAAAGCAGTAAGAAATAAGGACAGTACATCACTCACAATACATCCTCCCAGCCTTAAATATGTTTTACATGAGATGAGGGTCTCACCGACTTATGGAGCCAAACATCCACATTCTCCACTTGCATGTGCTATGACTTAATACAAGAAAGTACACTTTGCCAATGAACAGAAATGTCAGTAGTTCTTATGAGGCTGAAATTTACAGGAAGAGGCTAAGAGTTGAAACATTCCTGATTATCAATTCTAGTTAGATAGTCCTAAGAACACAATATTAATTTTCCTTCATATGAGACACCATGTCAAGTGGTTTGTTGATAGCCATCTAAACTGCTTTCTTCTGTCTCCACTGATTTGCCTTCATTGTGCAGAGGCCATTATTTTCAGCTCTGGTATGAATGTTGCATTTATGCTATTGTTGATTATATATATACTTATATATATACAAGCAAGAGAGAGAGAGAGAGAACACTAAGTCTACTCAAAATTTAGACTGAATGTGTCTCCAACTGTCAGCAAGAACATAGCTATGTGGAAAAAAACAATGGAAACTTGAAATCTGCAGGAAAATGGATGGAACTAGAAGAAACCATTCTGAGCGAGGTAACCCAATCACAAAAAGACAAACATGACATGTACTCACTCATATGTGGATTTTAGACAAATAGTAAAGGATTATCAGCCTAAAATCCACACTGCCTGAGAAACTAGTAAACAAGGAGGACCCTAAAAAAGACAAACATTGTCCCCTGGAAAAGGGGAAAGGGTCACGATGCCCTGAACAAATTGAGAGCATGGTAAGAAGGGGGAGCGAGCTACGAGAATGAGAAGGGAAGAAGAGGAAGGATGCAGAGGTCATGAGGGAGCAGAAAGGCAGGGTCAGGTGAAGATCAGAAGAAAGGGTATGTGATAGGTGGGGTGGTGGTAGGGGGGGAAGGGAGGGAGAAGGGAACTGGGATTGTCATGTAAGTCAATCTTGTTTCTAATTCAAATACAAAATGATTTTTAAAAAAGGGTAAGGGGCACGCACATGGGAGCCCTTCTTCCTTTTCATCATTGGCTTGCTCTATTTACTCCATGCCCTGCCGGCTGGCTAGGTTGCTCTGTAAGTAAGGTATTTCCCTAATAAATACCCTAATATCTTTAACAAAAAAAAACATAGCTATGGTGGACCTTGTGCTAATTAAATAGAAATTTCCTATCTCCGTTATAGCCAACATATCGATTGTAGACATTGATACGAACCAGGAGGAGAATGTAGCCACTTCGTCTTCTGGAAACAACTTTGGCCTTGACTTGAAAGCAGATGACAAAATATATTTTGGTGGCCTGCCAACTCTGAGGAACTTGAGGTAATCTAGTGTATATTTAAAGTGGAAGTTTTAATTAAATGGCCATTGTGTCACTAGAGTTGTGAAGTTTAATTACAATAGCAATGTCATATGACCTTTAGCTATAGAAAGAACTAATCAAAAAAATCATGTTGCATATTAAGAACAACACAAGGATTTGGAAACTGGGGATTAATTTGACATCTTTGTTGAAGAGATAAATTGAAATTGCTATTTCTCTTATATACACCTGCTGAAAAGAATTAAGAAAGTAATTAAAGGTGGAAGCCGAAGTTGAATGTGAGTCTTGTAATTGCTGCTCTCTGTGCACAGTCGCCAGAGAGAATGGCATTCTGACATTGTGCAGGCTTCTGAAAATTAGTCAGTTCTCAGGATGCTGTGAGTATAATCTATGTTATTGCTAAGCATTAGCATCATAATAGCATAGTGGAGCTTTCCCACGTATCCAATACTAAACGACATTTGTTATTCACATGTCTGTTCCAATATAATTTAGAGATTTCTCATGCGCTCTGTAGTGAGCAGGACAGAAAGACATCAGTAGTTCATAGTTCAGTTAGTTCAGAAACAGGAACTAAAATGTCAGAAAGTAGTCCATGCGGTATTTAATTGATTTATTGACTAATATAAAACATGGGAAACAAATCCCATAGAGTACATAGTACATACTATATGTTAAATGAATATGACTAAAATGGAATGAATTTACCTGGCTAATCTGTGAGTACTTAGGACACTTTCAGATTATCATGTTTTAAGGTTTTTCAGATTTGGTTTTTGGCTTTTTGTTGGTGGCTTATAAAGGTTATGAAAGTTCTATAAAAGTGTTTCTACTCAATAGAAATACTACATCTGGAAAATCCTGAGAATGCTATTATTGGAAATCCCGGGGCGAGGGTGGCCGTTACCCCCTATTTCCCATAAACAGGTCCCTGAACAGAGGAACCCTGATCTCCTTTTATATGTTTCATATCAACTGAAGTTGTTGTTTTTCTAAAATCTACTCCTAGACCAGGCAATTGTATAATTGACAGTCTTTTATAGGGTATGTTACAGGTCATGTATGCACATTCACAGGCACATATCATATATACATATTTATGTTTATATACATCACTATATTTATTTGCTAGTAATATAATTCTGAAGTATCAAGTCATAAAAGTCACTATACAGCATAATGATTTGAATAGTGATGTAGTTATCACTTAATAGTTTCTTTTCTAAACAAGCATTTGACACATGATTTCTGAATACCTACTATGTGCTAGGCAGCATACCAAACACAGGTTATCCAGTATTTATTTAAACCCAAGATTTATCTTGGAAAATCACTAACTATATTCAGAATGAGTTAAATGTAGTGCAATAAGACTACTTAAAAATATCTTACTTAGTCTAGTGATGATTTTTATTATCAGAATGTGAGTTCTGGAAACACCCACAAAAGCATCATGAATTAACTTCATTGAGAATGGTTTAGTATCTTGGGTGTATTTGGGAAACTATTTATGTTCTGAATCTTTATCACTGCAATTTTATTTTCTCCATTCAGCAATTTAAATTGCAATGCTACTGTAGCATGGCCTACTGTTCCAAAATTAGCTACGTGTATATTTGTGATTGACAAAGTATTCATGCATACACCTGTTATATTGTGCAGTCAGAACTTCTGTATGATGATGTTGTAAACACAATTTATTTTCCCATATAGTGTTAAGCTTGAGCTTCTCGAGAGTCAGTATTTGTAAGCTACTCATAAATACCATGCTGGTGCACTTTCTCATATATCATGTCAATAAAAATAAGAACATTGAATTCCTATTCCAAAATAAAAATGTCTAGGAGGTAATGTTTGGGGAGTGGCCATCTCTGAATTCTGGTTTCACTTCCATCAAGGACATTGGTCTATTCTTTGTCCTTTCCTCTTTAAATGTTCCTTTCTATGAGATGGGTTTTTAACAAGATTTATTATTAAAATTTGTTGTTTTGTTAAATGAAAATGCAATTATAAGTAATTTTTTTTCTTTTCCCTTTGGCTTAGTATGAAAGCAAGGTAAAATTTAAATTTATGCATGCCTTCTTCAAGTGCATGGCTGGGGAAATGTGGCTTTTTGGTGACAGCAGCATTGTAGAAGCAGAGCAACACCAATGCAATTGCTTCCACAGTAGGTTTCATGAGCAAATAATGTGTGATGCAAGAGTCCTCATGCTTCCCAGCACTTACAAAGAGGCTGCGGCTTGCCCACCATCAGGTTACCTCTATTGTTACACCAGCCCTAAGGGAATTTCACTGCTTACTTGTTCAAACACTTGGCACAGCACCTCCTGATGGCCAGCAGGACATATGCAAAGGGCATCTGGTCAGTCAAGTTTGTGGGCATAGTCTAATTCTACAGAACCATGTTAGAACCATGGCTTCTAAAGCAGAACCTTAGACGCTGGCCTCCCTAGCACTGTGCTGTTTGCTCAGCAAGCCACCTGTGTTACCGAATGCTCAGCACTGCTTTCTTGCTTTTTGCAGGCCTGCAAGTACGCATTTACATGGCCACTGCACCTCTTGTGTCTTGTCAAAGCTGCTTGTTTATTGCCATATATAAAATTATCTATGTAGCCAAATAAGAAAAACCTCTGCAGACATTATATTTCAAACAAATATTTTAGTTAAGTGTGGAGAGATGTAAAAACAGTCTCTCCATAGCTTTTTGCAGCCTTTGTATTCTTCCCTGCAGGCAGATACTAGTAAGAATTAGCAGTCTTGTAAGTGGCTGATCAAATCCTTGAGAGGTGGATGGATGGCTGACCCTGGCCAAAACCAAAGGTGTTTTGGCATATCAGAGCCTATTTCTGACAGATTTCTGAACAGGAGATAATAAAGCTGAAGTGATCCAGGAAATGTTTAAAGCCAAGACCAGATTTTAATATCACAGACTAGAAAACATACAAGGTGAGAAACATAAAAACAAGTCATTTTTTCATCACGTCATCCTGAGACTAGTCATGCCCTGTTTGCAGAGGTGGGTAAAAGGCAAAGACTGAACATGCAGTAGAAATACAGATAAATAAAACTCCAGGGTAGCACTGCTTAGCCTTCTAATTTTTGTGCATGCATGGTGGGCCTCAGGAAAGAGACCTGTGGTCACCATAGGAAAGCAAATCACTATACCATGACTCATCCCTAAGACTTTAATAGTGTTGAACTTGCCGAATCAGTACACTTTGAAAAGGATCTCTGCATTTCCATGAAACAATAAACTTGTTGGAGTGACTCACTTTATTGACAAAACTCCCCCAACCCCGCCAAATTGTGATCGATCTATCCTCCTCTAAAGCACAATTTGGAAGCAAGTGAGTACCACTGCAAATGAAATCCGCCATCCTCTTCACTTTGTACATGGTGATAAGTAAGATCCCTTCCCCCCAGCTGGCAGTGCTCTTCATAATCACTGACTGAAGGAACAGAAGGAAGAGACCTTGGGAACCAGAGAAAATGATCAAAGGAAATAAAGAAGTTCCAGAGAGACGGGGGTGGGAGTGGAAACGAGAACAAATACTTGACAAGAAATAAATCACCTGGTACAGACTGCCAGGGTCTAATTTGCTTTCCCACCTGTTTTTCCTCATGCCATGTGTCTTTTATAAAGATGAAAACGAGAAACTTGGCATCAAGGGACGATGAGAGGAGAATTAATCATTAGCCTATCAAGTACAATATTGGTGTCGATTGGACACTTTCCAGATGTTCATCAACACTACATAATGAAAAATTACAATTTTTACCCTTATATTTTGATACTGCTCAGTGTAGTAGCTACTAACTAGCCACTGTGAGCATTTATCTTTAGCACACACACACACACACACACACACACACACACACACACACACACACACACACACTCAACTCCCCCTTGGTACACTGCAAGTCCCAGTAGTCACAGATGCCTGGGAACCAGTTAACTACTGAAGTGGACAGCGTAGAACAGAGTATGTCCACTATCAGAGAAAGTTCTGCTGTCACAGACTCAAGCGATGTCCTCACCGTGCATGCCTTGTCAGTAGGTGTGGATTGTGCATTTAGATGTGCTGTACTCTGCAGCACATCCAGACTTTGTTCATTTAAAACATAAGCACTACTGTCATTGTCACCATGCCTACTTACACATACAAATATGGGATCCTCAAGAAATCAGATCACTTGGTCAGTATCAAATAGTGAATCAGAACAGCATGTCAGTGTCCAAGGCAAGGAATTAATTTCTAATCTATTAGCATCCTTGCTTTGTCATCAGGTGTAGTGAGCAGAAAGCAAGCATTTAAGTGTGGTTTGGGTGTAGAAGACATGAGCCAAATTAGAACTGACTATTTTGCATTAGATTGCATTTTTTGTTATGCCACATGCACACACATACACATACACACACATGAACATGTACACATATACACACTCACACACATGCACACACATATACACACTCATACACATGTACACACATATACACTCTCACACACACACATTCTTACATATGCACACACATACACAGGCACACACACACACATATGCACTTCTCTCTAGTTCAGGAATATTTCAAATAAACATTTCCAAATATTTTTCCTAAACTATGAACAAGATTTTAAAGAGCTTTTCATAAATAATTGAATTATTCTGCCCACACAATTATCTGCTCTTTAGTGGAAACAAGAAGCACTTATTTCATTATGTGCATGAAGCATTAATAAGTCAGTTGATTTCTAGGCCTCGTATTGAAATGCTGTGAGCACAGCTTCTCTTAGAGAGAAAATGATATCAGAATTCTGTGTACAGAGTGATGTCAACATCCACTCAACCCAACTATCACACAATGAAAAGCACAGCTTGTGGAGTGCAAGTGTGTACATATGCCCTGTGTTAGACATACACCTGCTTGTGTGTGTGTGTGTGTGTGTGTGTGTGTGTGTGTGTGCGTGTGCATGGCTTCCTTCCAGTGCAAAAAAACTAAATGCCCATCAGTCTAATGGTATTGCTTTTGTTGTCCATTTGACTATTCAATAGGCCAGAAGTAAATGTGAAGAAATATTCCGGCTGCCTCAAAGACATTGAAATTTCAAGGACTCCGTACAATATACTCAGTAGCCCCAATTATGTTGGTGTTACCAAAGGCTGTTCACTGGAGGTTGGTTCATTTCTAAAGGTTCTATAACATATTCATATCATACTTCATTTACTTACCATGAGTGCTTTTGCTAGCATTGTTCCTTTGTCAATATGCTTTAGTTTTGTACTAATATCTTCTTAGTTATGCATAGATGACATAGTAAAACAGAAGCATACTATAAATCACTGCAATGGAAATAGTACTATGAAGAGACAAAACTGTGCTCCATTTTCCAAATTGCATTGTAATTGAATATATAGCACATATCTTTAATATGAATAGCAATTCTGATTGGTCCTATCTTCCATTTCAATAACACTTCTTCTCATTTTTGTCATCTTTCCTAAATTTGGTTCCATTTGTACATTATACAGCTTGATTACCTTTCCTAAAATATGTTAGTAGTTTACACAGACAGTAACACCACCCACCATGTCACCAATGTGCAGCATCTTGTCCACAGTCTTGAAGCTGTGTGTCATATCGTGCCCAACTCTGCAAAAACTCATGTGATATGAATTACAATCTCTCATATCTCAGAATCTCTTCTTTGATGCTACTGCAGTCTGGGGATGAATGCTTGGTAGTGACTCTTCAGTTTTGTCCAGTCAATGTGAGAAAGACCCAAAGCATTACTTTCCCTTTAAAATATCTATAACACAGTGAAAGATTACCATAAATTAGTCATAATAATTTTATGGAAATTCTATAGTGATGAGATTTTAAAATAAGAAGATGTTGAATCTATCAAACACAAATTTTTAATTACCCACTCAGATGCAACTGTTTGTTTTGGCTGCTTTCTCCAATGCAAATCATTTTTAATCACTCCAGTGGAGTTCAATGAAATGAAGCCAGGGCAGGGAAATAGAATAGTGGATTTGCCTTCTGAGCTGTGAGATTTCAAGACTGTGACAGACCTGTCTGGGTCTTCATTGTTCAAAGCTGCAGGCTCTTTGTGAAGTGACCGTAGACTCCCACTCCAAGCTTAAGGAGAAATACAGAAAGAATTAATGCTCTAAGGGTCCACACAGTCTTCCTAAAGAAAAACTTACAGAGAGTTAAAATCTTCAAAGTCTAACTCTCATCTGCACTCAAAAGATATATACATGGGAATGGAAAGCTGTCCAGATCAATGAACTGAACAGCATGTATGCACAATGTAAAGGCATCCTGTGTAATGTAAGAATGCCTATGTAAAGGCATTCCAGATTAGGGAAATATTTGGCTGAAATAAGAAGCAGGAATTTGGTATGGCTGAATATTGAAAAGTCTGCACAGTAGATTCATCTGAACCATCTAAAATTGTGAAATTGAAAATCAGAGTAGAAAGTAGATTATACATTTCACCAACTCCTATACTATTTTACTGGACTTGAAAGCCTGTGCAGGGGTGCAGGAGTTAGGGGTAGCCCACATGAAAGGTTTTTTTTGCCTTTCCTCCATTAAAAACACAAGACTTTTTAAAAATGAATATTTTAGGAACCTTCAAAAATGCAATGGCATGATCTTGCTAAAATAAATGCCAGCACTTTTAGATGGTAGAATTCCTCCAACTTTCAAAAATTAAGATAAACTGGGTGTGATGGCATACATCTTTAATCCCAGCACTCGGGAGGCAGAAGCAGGCTGATCTCTGTGAGTTCAAGGCTAGCCAGAGTTCCAAGACAGCTAGTTACACTGAGAAAACCTGTCTCAAAAAAAAAGCCAAAGCAAGAAAGTGATGATAAACTATATTTACTGGCAGAAAAACTTACATATTTGAAAAGAGATGTTGTGGTAATGGAGAGATAGCTCTGTGGTTAAGGACCTGCCTGTGGTTCCCACAGCATATGGCTCACAACTGCCTCTAACTTCATCTTAAGGTAGATCCAAAGTCCTCTTCTGGCCTCTGTGGACACTGCATCAATGTGCACCCTAGACACACACACACACACACACACACACACACACACACACACACACACACACACACTCACATAATTCAGAAACAAAATAAAATCTTGAAAAATGTAAAGAGTTGATTCAGTTCAAATATAAAAAGAATGAAGAGGACAAGATTGTGAAAGATAAAGTGAATGAACTTGAGTTCTAGAAAGTTACATGCTTTCTGCTTGCCTTTGAGAAGTGGGTCACTTTCTCTCTGTACTCTGGGTAGTCTCTGAAACATAAGTATACAAATTTTATGGTTGGCAACAAAACATTTGTATTATTTTGAAAAAACAGACATGAAATATTGAATTGATTTATTTTAATAACTAGTTTATATCTCTAGAAATTATTCTAGAGAATATTTCCAATCTTGATATTAACGAGCACTTTTCCATGGGCTTATCATGAGGAAGAATGTAGATATAAGTCATGGTTACACACAGATTTAAACATAAAATAATAGTTGGTGCTACATAGCCAAGAGATTTAAGACAGACAGAAAGGCAAATTTATACCAAAAGAAAATGTTGTCTACCAATACTCTTCCACATTTTATGTCAAGAATTACATGTTTAAAACAAAAGTCATACTTTTTAAATTTTAAACTGAATTGTTCAGAAGATTAATTGCATTTGGAACATTATTTCTTCAGTTGCTCTTAATGTGACTATAGGTTCCATGCTCCCTAAATTTACTATTTTGCGTCCATGTGGAATATGTTGAGGAAAGAGGTGTGTAGAGAATTTAACCCCTCATCTCTAATGCTTTCTCTGGTTTTTTCCCCCACAGAATGTTTACACAGTTAGCTTCCCCAAGCCTGGTTTTGTGGAGCTCGCCCCAGTGCCCATTGATGTCGGAACAGAGATCAATCTATCCTTCAGCACGAAGAATGAGTCTGGACTCATTCTCTTGGGGAGTGGTGGGGCACCAACCCCACCCAGGAGAAAACGGAGGCAAACTGGACAGGTACCATCACAGCTCCTTCATAAGACATTTCCCCCTCTTTTAAATAGTACCCTTAGGATGTGGGGAGATGCTCATTTGAGATACTTGGTTGGTGAAGTGCCTGCCTTCAATAACACCATTAAATGGGTTTTGTAGTTCAGAGTAGAGTCACTCATTTTGACTATCATCTTGGTTAACCAGGGCTGGTCATTCTGAGTGAAAACATTCATAGCTAATACCAAGTCAGGTATGATCAAACAAGTAAACAAACTATTGTACAAATACATCTTTAGATATGAAAACACCTTTACAAATGAGATGGTGTCATCCTTATTAGGTATGTGTTTGTGTGTGTGTGTGTGTGTGTGTGTGTGTGTGTGTGTGTGTGTGTGAGGGGCATGTGTGTGTGCACAGGTGCATGTCATGTGCGTGCATGTGAGACAGAGTCTCACAATGGCCTATAACTCACCAAGTAGGTTAGACTGTGTGGCCAGTAAGCCCCAGAAACCTGCCTGTTTCTACCTTTGCAGTGCTAGAATTACAGACATTTGCCACTTCACCTGGATTTTGTTTAAATGTAGGAACTAGGGATTGAACAGAAGTCCACATGCTTGCAAAGCAAATAATTTGCAACTAAGATATCTCCCGGGCCTTGATTGGAGGTCTTCTAAATTGGGAGATTTTAATACTGAGTAATTACTAGTAGACAATAAATCTTAATTTCTTTATATAAAACATAATTAAGCCTATAACAAGAGATTGGTTAAGAGGAGCAGGCACTCTATAACCTTGAGGATCTCAAGAATTCATGGAGAGGCTTGTGAGGTGGTCCAGTGGGCTAAGGCCTTGCTGTCTGATGCATTGCCTGAATTTGATTCCTAAGGCTCATGTGATGGTTGTGTGCCCCCACACGTCCACAAACACATTCACAAAACCAGTAAATACATAAATAGAATCCTTTTTTTTTTTTTTTTTTTTTTTTTTTTTTTTGGTTTTTCGAGACAGGGTTTCTCTGTGTAGCTTTGGAGCCTATCCTGGCACTCGCTCTGGAGACCAGGCTGGCCTCAAACTCACAGAAATCTGCCTGCCTCTGCCTCCCGAGTGCTGGGATTAAAGGCGTTGTGCGCCACCAAAGCCCAGCCATAAATAGAATTCTTAAGGAATGCCATTCTAATCTAATATTTGAAAAATTAAAAATCATAAAATTGTCATAACAGATTTTTAAAAAGCATTAGGTAAAATTTAACAACATTCATGATTTTAGAAAACAGTGAACTAAGAGGAAGAAACATACTTTCTGTAAAAAGATGATGATTAGTTGTCTTGGTACAAGAGCATCACAGACTTGTGATGTGCTATAAAATCAGGATCTAGGGAAAGAAGGCTGCCCCAACAAAAGAACAAGTAGCTAGATAAAAGGTACTGTGTGCTTTAAAAGCAAACAACAAGCCAGGGGTTGGTGGCTCATGCTTTTAATGCCAGCACTTGGGAGGCAGAGGCAGGCCCACCTGGTCTACAGAGTAAGATCCAGGACAGCCTTCAAAACAATACAGAGAAACCCTGTCTCAAAAAACAAAACAAAACAAAACAAAAACCAAGTTAGACATAAATGAGAAAACTGTAAAGTTTTATTGAAAGCTATTAAATTCATCCTCAATGAATATACACATTCGTCTTGTTGGTAGAGAAAAACTCATTATCAAAATTATACCAGTCCTCGCTAATATGACACACAAATTTAATTTCAGTACGGAATACCATCTTGTCTTTCTTGCGAATCATACCATGTTATTTTTTTAATTTATAGAAAAAAGTAAAAATCCACCAAAACTCCTAAAATGGAAGAATATGGTAGGATGGGGAAGTGTAGCAGATATTGCTCCTCGTAAGTCAGAGACTTAGACTGTAGTAATGTTTTCATTCCTGAGAAATTCTCTCCTGATAATAGAGAATAGAGAAGATGGATATGGCATCTACCCATAGGTGGCATCTCAGATCATGAAGAAAACAGTAGGCATTCCCTGAATGATTCCAGGGCCGTTGGTTTCTATACCAGAAAGAAAAAAACAATTTCTACTTTGTTTCAAACTGAAAAGTAAGTTCCCAGAAAAATTAAAAGTGTAAATATGGAAAGAAAACTAAGTTTAAAACTTTTAGCAGGAAATGACTCAGCATGGTGGCACACACCCTTAATTCTAGCACTCAGAAGGCAGAAGCAGGCAGATCTCTGTGAGTTTGGAGACAGCTTGGTCTGTATGAGTTCCAAGACAGTCACAGATACATAGAAAGAACACGCCCCTCTCTCTGCTCTCTCTCACTCACTTGCTCTCTACAAATACACATATACATATATATTATATAGAAAGGTAGATATGATAGATTACACAGATCTAAATCAATGAAAGTTATATGGATAGATGATCAATAGATAGGTAGATGATACATAGAATATAGAGAGATAGATCGACAAATAGATAGATAGATAGATAGATAGATAGATAGATAGATAGATAGATAGGTACTTTTGATATTTCTGATCTCCTGGAAGAGATTTAGTAAGAAAATCAAGAGTATAAGTACAACCACATTAATATTAAAACTCTCCATTCATCAAAAAGCACAAAATGTAAGCATCTGCCTGAAAAGGTATTGTTAATGTAACCTTCAGAAAACCTAAGTAACCACAATTGAAAGCAACTTTCAAAAACCAAGATGCAGCAGAAACATGTACAATAATGAACAGATCTGAATAGGCATTTCACAGAACAGAAACCATGGTGAATACTAAAATATTTTTAAAACATTCAGCTTTGAGGTAAGAGAGAAATGTATTTTTAATCCACACTAGATTTTATATCCACCGGAATGATGGAACATTATGTAGCATGATAAAGTCAAGGGCTGGCAAGGCCTTTGTTAAAAGTAGTTCTTATTGCTGTAGACAGAGGAAATTGAAACACAGGCTCTGGTGGCGGTTGTGAATCCATTCTTTAAGGAGAACCACATGTGGACTCTACCCCATGCAGGGACCTGAACGCTGGCATGGGTGCCCAATGAGACAAGCACAAAAAAACAGCCCAAAGGAACAGTTCTTATTTATAGCAGATAAGTGAAAAGGGACCCAAGTATTTGTCAGCTGGAGAAGAGACCAGTAAGGTAGCATTTTGGCTTAATGGTATAGAAAGCAGGAATAGCAAGGAATGAATAACAGCTTAACAAGACAGCAGGGATGAGTGAGAACCAAGTAGCCGTGAAGGCACGGGGCAGCCTGTGCTATCACTTGCATAGGTTTCTGTACGAAGCATTGAGTGTATTGTTTACAAATGCATATGTATATCTTCAAAAATAGATTTTAAAACCCTGGGATAATAAATCCCGTAATAGTGGAACCTCTGAGATGGGGAAGCAGGAAGATGGGATCAGTAAGAAGCTCCATGGATATAAAATGGTATCTCCTTAAATTGCCTGGTAGATTATAGCTGATTTGACTACAGAGCATAAACGAGTCTTCAGCATTTACATAAATGCATTTATATTGTGAGGACCACATCAGTCATAATGAAGCATTCTCAGGGGGCTGAGATGGCCCAAGCATTAACAATGACTACTGTTCATGCAGAAGACCCAAATGGATGGCTCGTAACCACTTGTAACTCCTGTCCCAGAGGATTTGATGCCTGCTTCTGGCTTAGACAGGCTCCTGAACTGACATACACATACTTATGCATATATATAATTAAATTTTTAAGTATTTTTAAAGTATTTTATTTTTAAATTTTTAAAGTATTTTAAATGTTTTTGATACATAGAGGAAGAAAAGTAATATTTAACTCTTCACTGTGAGTAATAATCACTAAATAGATATAAAAAGGAGTTCTACCAAATCTTCATCTTCTAATCCTGAAAAAATAAAAATCTTTTCTAACTTTTGCAAATGTTACTCATATTATATTGAGGACCAAACCAAACATTTTGAAGCTTTCACCACATCTCCTCGGCCACTGTCAATAATTAAACACCTGAAAAAAAATTAAACACCTGTCAGCTCCAAATTTCTTAGCACTAAATAAATGGATTAAATCATCAGATTTCAGGCAAATTCTTGAAATAGAATGTGTTCCTATTAAGACAATTAACACAAGAAGATAATAAGTATCAAAATGAAAATTTTAATGCCCCAAACAGTTAATGATAATGAATATCTAGCTTTTAAAGTCATGTAATATTCGTTATCTTAAAAGGGAAACAGTGTTAAATTGTTCAAATGTGCTTGAATCAGGGCTGCCTAAATGGCTATATTTTATTTGTGAAAGCTAACAGTTGAAATATCCAGAAGGTTATTTTTGATTGTGTATGCCCTCAATGTGTTTTCAATATCAAACAATCAGTTAAAACAGTTTTTGATTAAGTATTTTATGGTGGTTCCATTGAAGGATGATGAGGGGTAATCTTCTGAGCATTGTGTACTGGACACATAGCTGCATAAATAATCTAGTGAATTATTGAAGGGATGGTAATACCAGTGGAAACCTTATTAACCACCATCGGTTACACATGGAACACAGAATGGTCACAGTGCAGCAGCTGCCTGGTACCACACAGGAGAGGGAGTGCATATAACATCAGCTTTGGGTACAAGGATTGCACCCAAGCTCCCTGGAGTTCATAATTGGATATCAAAACCATACTGGTTGCCATGGTAACGCTGACAAGAAGAAAACAGGCATGTTTGTGGATAGAAAATTGTCTTCTTTCTTTCTAAATGTGGGAGACAAGTTACATGTTTGTGGCAGTGATCTACTCTGCCAGCTTGGAGATAAATTAAAATCTGAACACTCAAACGCCATGAGGTTGAGTCAGACCTCATTTCTAGAAACTAGCTGCCCACTTGTGAGTATAAAGGAGAATGGTTTTGTTGACACCCTTTGTGTCCTAACAGGTCCTGTAAGTTAGAGGATAGAGGTAAACAGAGCTGTTATGTTGAGCATTAGAAATTTGTCAGACAACTGATATCAATATATTGACCTGCCCCCCCTTACCCAACAAGCAAAATGGCAACGGATTTTTAAAAAGACATTCCTGCATCCTTATGGACTCTGTTTAAAGTAAATATTGAGAGGCTAGGAAATGCCTTAATGGGTTAGAACCCCTGCTTGGCAAGCATGAGGACCTGAATTCAAATCCTTAGGATCTCTGTGAGTACCTAGATGTGGCTATAAGGCAGCATTGTGGGAGACAGAAACAGGGTTACTGTTGGGGTTCAGTGGATGCCAGACCTTGCCTCCAGGTTCAATGAGAAAGCCCATTCTAAGAGAGTGAAGCAGAATGTTAGAGTGGGATCCAACATCCTCCTTTGGCTTCTCTGTGTTTTGTGAAAGAGTATCAATCACTACAGCTGTCCCAGACATAGACCCTGTTTAATCTTCAATACCCGTTTTTTTTGTTTGTTTGGTTTGGTTTGGTTTTGGTTTGGTTTGTTTGTTTGTTTGTTTGTTTTGGTTTTTTTGCTGCAGGCCTATTATGCCATATTCCTCAACAAGGGCCGTCTGGAAGTGCATCTTTCCTCGGGGACACGAACAATGAGGAAAATTGTCATCAAACCAGAGCCAAATCTGTTTCATGATGGGAGAGAGCATTCAGTTCACATGGAAAGATCCAGAGGGTAACTAGTAGAGCACCTGTTGTTATTGTATGTAACGTTAAGTCCCTTTGCCGGCACAGCTCTCTGTCTGAACCTCCCTGTGTGGACAGACCACACACTCCAAACTGCAAGGATGCGCACACGTCCTCTTCTTTGCCTCTTGTGTTTGGAAATCTCATTGGCAAGGGCCTGAGGAATTCTATTACCAACTGTTTCCCTCCTGTGTGGTTCTTCTCGCCTCCTTCACACAGTGCATCATCTCCAGCTGAAGATAAAAAAAAATCCCTCCCCCTGCACCTTGCAAGTAGGCTCTTCTCTAATAAGGCAGTCATAGAATAGCTCAGGTCAAGGCAGCAACCAGAGGCTGCTAGTTCACTCAGGTTCTAAACCAGTTACAGCAGCTGCTTAGAAACCTGCCATCGCTATTATGGAGCATGGCAGTAGCTCCAAGACCTACAGAGACTCTTATGGGTATACCTCATCTCTGTCTGTCCCCTAACACAGTCGTGTGTACAGCCCTGTAGTGACTTTCTGCAAAAAGTGGGTCAAAGTAGAAAAGGAGAATGGTGGCCATCTGTAATTATGTGTAGTGGTCACTTCTCTACAAATCTCCAAGGATACCTGTCCTTAGTCCTGAGTATATAAACTGATCTCTCATTTCTGCAGAGTGCTTTGTACTTGCTTTACTGGAAAAGTCATCTATCTGTGTTCTACATTAAAGCACTATGTAACAATTCAGAGAGGTAATTAGTTCGGAGGGACGATGAGAGGAAAAGAAAACAGAAGCCCCGAGACTTGAGGGCTTCAGACCTCCAGATCAACAGTCCATTTAATAAATCGAAGGCAGGGGACTGGAAATTCAATCTTATGAAAACTCAAGACACAGAGAGAGTGGCCGGGGGGGGGGGGGGGGGGGGGGCGCGGTCAAAAGAAGCAGTTGCTGTCTATATTGTCTAGTTGTTCTCTTGTATAGCTAACAGCTTAGGTAACTAATGAGATTTCTTATTTTCTAAGTAAATGACAAAGCCCTCACTCTGTTATTGTGATACAGAGCATTTGCTTGTGAGCTGAATTAATACTAAGCATCTGTGTTGTGTCTGGACTGAAAGGTTTGAAAGCCATGGATCAAGAAAAATTAGCAATCAATATTCAGACAACTCACAACTTTTACTGATTTAATAGCCAGGTATCATAGTCAACATGACTGGGAGATGGGGGCAGATTAGATTTTCTCACTTTAATCTTGGGGAATACTTTAGAACACCAATTCCACATGTCTTCTCATCTAGTTTTTAGGCCAAATATTTGCTCAATGTTAATCTTTATCACATGTAAAAAGCATGTTTTATAAGTCATTAAATCTCAAATAATTTCACCAAACAAATGTGGATTTGGGAAATACAGGTGACCAAAATTCACCAAAAATATGTTACTTTTAAGAGAAAGAACTTAGAAATCCCCAAATGTGTCACCATGCTATACTAAGGTGTCCTTTGAACAGGTGTTTCTTCAAGAAGGGCATTTCATTATGCCAACTTCACAGCTGTTGGCCATCAATCCAAATTACATTTGATTAAACTCTGCATATAATACATCCCTGAAAACTGGTCAGTCAGTTAATTAGCGATATAAACAAACAGATTTGCCATTGATTATTAGTTACAAGATGATATATTAGACATATGACTGTGTGATTATCCAATTCTGTGCCAAAACAGGAATCCATTTACGACTGTGTCCTCCTTGGCACCCTAAGGTCAAAACACAGTTATTGTCTACTCTATAAGCAAACACATGGTTAACCAGACATCACTAATGAGCATACAAACATCACTTGGAAACATCATGTTGTTTCATATAGCAATTCTAAGGAATACACTATGTTGAATTCTAGGCCGATTGTCTTTTAATGATTTTACATTGTGTGTGAGAAGTGTATTAGTGTCCTTATGTCACAAAAGAGAAAACATTACATAATTTGCCTAAAATTGCACAGCAGAAACAAAAAGCCAGGTTTAAAACCAATTATAACCAGCCTTAATGTTCTGTCTATGCTTGGTCTACTATTTGTTCTTACCCAATGGGGACTTCAAAGATTTAATATTACTAGGTATTGGGTATGATATGCCATTACTAATTTGGAAATATGCTTTCTCCCAATGCTTTTTATATGCTTAGAGGCCAATCAATTCTTTTTCTAAACTCCAGAATAGTGTGGTAACTGTAGTAGCACTCTTAAATTATTTGGATTTTTTTAGCAAGTCATAAGACAAAAGTTTTCTCCTCTTTTGCTCCTTTCTAGCCCACAACTTGCATTCTTTCCTTTTCTACCTCTTCCTTTTAAAAATATTTAAACTCACCTCAATCATTTTCTTGTCTCACTTCCTGATACTCAGTAACCCTTCCTCCTATGACTGCCTTGATTTTGATCTTTCCCTTGGAGTCTACCCCGTGGACATCAGCTCTAGCAGGACAAAAACTTTGAAACCCTAAGGCCTTAAATAGTGCCTTGGGTGAGTGGGATACAATACTGAGTTGAGTCTGTCTTCTGTGAAAGCATTTGGTACACAGGTACAGAATATGGCTAGAGATCAGAAACTTGGGAGATCTCAGAATTTAGGACTTCCAGAGATCATGATTCAGAGAATCCAAGCATTGTGTTCCATAACATTCAATATATGTCAGCAAAAAGTATAACTTTTCATGTGAATTACAAGTACTCCAATTGTACCTTCCTGCACATACACAGTTGCTGATGACTTGAAAATTATTGCAAATCATTTTGCAAATCATTAAGGAATAGAGCACCAGAAATAAAATAATTATGAGCCTGTGAGAATCAACCACTGATATTATAAAAGGAAATATCAGTTAACTCATCACAACATTAATAGGGCATGTGTGCTTACTATAGTGTTTTATATAAAGTAACCTATGAGGTAAAGGTTATAAATGAGAGGGTAGAAAGATGGCTCAGTGGTTAAGAGCATATACTGCTTTTGAGGACCAAAGTTTGGTTCCCAGTTCCTGTGTCATATGGCTCACAGCCACCTGTTACTCCAGCGCTGGGCATCCAGCACCATCTTCTGAATTCCATAGACTCCTGCACTCATGCTCGCATATAGCTACACAGAGACACATACAATGTACATAATTAAAAAATAAAACAAATCTTTAAAGATAATAAAATTAAAGCAAATTACCACACCAGAATGGATACGTTGTCAATGTCCTTATCTGAAAAGGAACTAAATCAATCATTTATATTTAATGTTTCTTGAATGTAAAATGCAAGAAAAAAATCAACTGTAGTCTTCTAACATTGCTCTTATTATGTACCACTGCCTCGGGGCAATCTCTTAATGAATGTATTCCACTGTTTGAAGTAGGTGTTTTTAATCTCCATTTTATAAATGAATAAAATGAAACTAAGCGTGATTAAATAACTTGCCCAAGGTCATGCTGCTAGGAAGACTACACATTAATACTGAATTCTAATCTGGCCCTCGTAAAGGCTCACTCACATTCCTTCTGCATTACTGTAGAATAAGGCCTGTTGCTGTGTTCCCCAGTGAACAGGACTGGTGGAGAATCTACCTTAGAAAGAGAAGGGCCTCAGAAAGTTACTGTCAATGGACATTCCTTTGGAGTGGATTAAATCCCCAGCTAAGCCCTTGGGAGTGTGGTTCAATGCCATAGAAAAACAGCTTCAGCAAGAGCTGGGGGAAGGCTGGTCTCAGTGAGTCACTCACACCTGGAAACTAGTGGCTATCTCAGTCTCGGAAACCACCAACACTCTGAGCAGCGATATTGAACCTCCTGGTTTTTGCCAATATATTCTTCCAGAAGCTTTTCTTTTAAAACAAAGTTCTCCCTAGTTTCCTTCTGAAACAAAGTCTTGCTTGTGCCTTCAACAGCCTGAACTATGACATTTTGAGCCATGACAAAGTTTATTTTGTTCTATTTTCTTATGTTGTTATTAGTCCAAAAGTGGATCCACTGCTCAGTTCCAAGTTCTAACTTGTCTTAATTTATTATTTCCAGATCCCTTACCTTGATGTCCCTGCCCCTTCCCCTCTCCTATTCCTCCCTCTCTACTTTCCTCCCTCCCTCTCTCTCTTCCCATTGCTCTTTTAACAAAACCAGGTCATATGGCATTTTAAGGCTGAGTTTCCACCTGGGCATTTAGGTCTCATCCTCAGATAAGAAGTAAGTTCTCTGCAGTCCAGTTACAATCCATCCATGATGACAAACAGCATTGCAATTACTGTTGGGACCAAGCTCAAACCCTGCTTGTACAAAGAAAACTAGAAAATGCCTTTGGTTGTTTTCATCATTAGAACTCCGTGTCTTGGTTCTTTGCCCCTGGATCCAAGGATTGTTGTGAATAAGTAGTATGCAGTTCTCAATTAGTAGCATCTGAGTAATCACTCATAAGCAAATTAGGGAAATTAATGAAACAGCCACTGAGGAAAATCACTGCAAGGAACAATTAGCTTGGTGTTCTGGCCTGCCTCTTCTATTCAAAAGCCAGCAGCTACATTCTTTATAAAATGTACTGTAAGTGTTTGCTGTTGATTCCTGCAATCTAAGCTCTCAGGAGGACGGTTTGTCCCCTAGCAAGAAGATAATAGCTAGCACAAACCAAGACATAAAGAGCCAAACAAAATGCAGCCCCTTGCTGTGCCAAACTCCCAGATCCTTATCCGATTAGACATTTCTATACAGCCCCACAGCCTCTGTTCTCACAGAATGTGTGTTGGGCTGCAAACCTATGTTGCCACCTGCATCACAGACGTGTGTTGCAGCTGTGTGTTTGCCTAGTTTCAATAAACTTTCAGTACAAGTTAATGAGCAAGGCATGAGACAAAGTCCTAGGAAACAATGGTGTTTTTTAGTTGCTTGATGTAGGGGTTCTAATTATCTAAATCTGGGCTATCTTAAAGGTTATGGGAGATCAGAGTGCCATGGGCATGCCTACAAACTCCTAGCTGTCAACAGGCTGAGGCAGAAAGATCATGAGTTTAAATCCAGCTTAAGATACATAGGTAGACCTCTTTTCAACAATAGTAATAATGACGGCAAAACTGAAAAATAGATTTCTGAGAGCAGAGAATAAGAGGTGGCAGGAAAGATGTTTCTACTGTACTGGATATGGCTTATCTTTATATGTTGTATCAGCATCTTCACTGTTCAAGTTGATGAAGACAGAAGACATACACAAAACCTGACAGTGGAGCAGCCAATCCAAGTGAAAAAGCTCTTCGTCGGGGGTGCCCCTCCAGAATTTCAGCCTTCCCCACTCAGGAATATTCCTGCTTTTGAAGGCTGCGTGTGGAATCTTGTTATTAACTCTGTGTAAGTGACTGTCATTTCTGCTGCCCGTTTGCTTTTAATTTAATATGAGGGTCACTGTAGTATCCATATTGTCTAAAACCACAGTAGGGAAGAGGCCATGGTAGCATTAATGTAGACCCGGATTTCGACCCAGACCATTTCAAGTCAGAATTGGGGACTGATTTAATTGTTAAGGAAGAAGACAATTAAAAATACGAAAACTTTCATTTTGATTGTGTTTGATTAGCCCCATGGACTTTGCCCAGCCTGTAGCCTTCAAAAATGCTGACATTGGCCGATGTACCTATCAGAAGCCCCGGGAAGATGAAGAAGTTCCAACTGAAGTCATTGGCCAGCCTCAGCCACTGCCTACCCCGGCCTTCCCTTCACCTGTGCCCACCCTGACACATGTAAGTTTTCACATAGACACTGCTTTTGAAACTTCTTTTTTGAATCATTTCCAGAACAGTAATTGTTTAAGGTATCTAGTAGACTCTGTCACTGGCACTAGAGGACCAGCAACCTGTCTATAAAAAGCTGGGCTCCTCACACACATCTTCTTTGGGTTGCTTTTATCTTCATATCTTTCCCTTTAAATTTGATGGTCATAAACTGGTTTTCCTTTGAAGAATTGAAAAGAACCAAAGTTTTCAGAATCCAGATTCAAAGTCATTTGTAATACCCATACACAGAGATAATCATGCCAGTGTTCAGTTTCTTTGGATTTTACACGTAAATCTCATATAATTTGGAATCTTAACTTGTAAAACTGGTAACACATAATCACAACTGTCTATAAATATCACATAGATGTATGTCTGCATTTAACATGATTTTCTTTTGTACACACACACACACACACACACACTGGGAGTCACACAAAATATGCTACATTACAAGAGGTGGAATTTCCTTGATGAGATCTTTGGATCCAGTTACTCAGCCATGCCCCAATCCCAGCTCTCAAACCAACCATCAATGTGGAAAATCTGCTTAGCAATCAAGGCCAGGTTTGTAACTTGTGAAGTGAGGATATTAACAGGCCAGCTGTCAAATTCCATCAGAATTTTAGAAGATAGTTTTTAACTTCGTGAAATATACTAAGCATATACTAATGATCCTACTTGCTGTTTTCATGTTTACTACATGCCCACCTCTAGCCAAACAAATTCTATCGAATGCATGTGTAGTTCTCATAACATCTATGTGAAATACAAATTGACATCCCATTTTCTGTAGATTGGATAAGAACTGGCTCTCTAAAGTAACTTATGAGTTCACTCAAACAACTGGCCAGTGTCTGGATGGGATTTTAATCTACTAGATCAGACCCTAAAAGCTAACTCAGAATGAGCACAAAACTTTGCCTTTACAATTCACTGTACTTTGACTAGCCCATTGAGGGCTACTGGGAGGTGGGAGGTCTAGTTTTCACTTAGAAACTATAAGCAACCAAATACATCTGAGAATTACTCTTTTATCATCACTCATTATTGTATTAAATTTCTAGTAGGAAAGTATGAAGCCAAAAGATAGGTGCATCTAAGGCTCACCATGTTTCAAAATTGCTTTTTCCAGAATTTACTACAGCTTACAGTCTTACAGTTTCATCAGAGATGGTCCATCTCCCTGCACTCAGCAGCATAGGCATTGATCACAGTTGTGATCATGACTAATTAAAGCTGTAGTGTGTTGGGCTTAAGTAAATATTTTGAAAACACGTGGACACAGCATTCTCTCCTTTGCTTATTCTTTAGCTGGTTCCTTGACAGGGGAAATTCTTACTACATAGCAGGCCAAATAGCCATCATTCAGAAAAACTGATTATCTACTACAATCAACATTTAAGCTTCTGAAAAATGAGTCTTACACTACTAGAGTTATTATAATGAAATATAATTTACACTATAATGATATATATTATATTATAATGAAATAATTACAATATTGAGTATATTATAACCACAATTCTTGTGAAGATATAATAATCAAAGGCATGGCATATGTAGAACTTTGAAAATTGGGATTTTTTTCACCTCAAAATGAGCATGAAGGGATTTTGTTTTTATAAGACAGTATTTTATTCTCGTGTGTGTGTGTGTGTGTGTGTGTGTGTGTGTGTGTGTGTGTGTGTGTTATTACAAGTGTTGTTATCCCAGTCTTTACAAAAAGAAATGCCTAGAGTCAATAAACAACAGGAAGTCCATGGTCAAGTAGGGTGATTTCTCCCTGGGTACCACTGCTATATGGATGCTTCCAACAGATGCATCAACAGGATGTCTCCTAACTAGTTATCATATTTGGTCAAGTAAAACCTCTTGGACAGTCTTATCAGTAGGTTTTCATTTTTGTGTGTTGGTTTGTTTGGGTAGAGAAGATCATTGGTCGTCTCTGTGGAGCCCCTTCTTTTTCCTTGTGAAATGGATATCCCAATCTGTGGTTAATATATTGTCAGCCATTCAGGGTTAGAAAGCATTTCCCACACGTTATCTCACTTGTCACAGTGCCAGAACCTAGCATCCCCTTATGCTCCCCTTCATTATCTAGCATATTCCTGTAAATTCTACAAACTTTGCTTTAAGAGGTCCCTCAAGCACACTGCTCTGCTTTCTGAAGAGCACAATTTTCAGAAGCATGGAGATTTTTACAAATGAGTTTTCTTGGAACCTCTTATTCTAACTCTGGGTTTCATTTTCTCTTAGCAAAATGCTTTAACTTTTTCAAAATCACAACACTGCACTTAGTAGACAAGACTGATGCAGAGGGCTTGAGCAGCAGCCCAACTTGCAGATCAAGAAAGAACTGAATCATGGGTAGAAAAGATCTTGGAAATCCCAACTCTTTTAGAAAGTATTTGCTTTTTTAATGTGTATGAGTATTTGCCTGCATGTATGGGAGTGCACCACATGATGCACACAAAGTTCAAAAAGGGGTACAAGATCCCTTAGAACAAGGGGTGTGAGCCTTTCTGTGGGTACTAGGCACTGAACATGGTATCCTCTTTGAGAGCAGCAAGTATCCCTAACTTCTAATCCATCTCAGCACAGAAATCCTACTCTGAAGTGACTCCATTAGAGAAATTACAGTGTGGTCTCAGATTATACACACAAGTAATGGAGACCTGAACCCCACCTGTGTTTCTCCTGCTACATATTTTATTCACTTGAGACTGTGGGGGTCAGAATTGTTTTAGGACTTTCCAACTTTATGGGTTTTGTTTTATTTTGTTTTAAAACAGTGTCTCACTATGTAGGCCAGGCTGGCCTCAAACTCATAGAGATCCTCCTGCCTCTGCCTCATGAGTGTTGGAGTTACAGGCGTATGCCACTGCACCAAGAAAAACTATATTTTAGAGGTCGGGCTCCAGTTTCATATGATATGCATTATCCATTTTAATTTGATTTATTTCTTTCCTTTTGTGGAAAACAGAACCTTCCTTTTAGACGTGACTAAAAGCTAATAAATTGGTAATTTATTTTATAAAATATACTTATCAAAAAGCCCAATCAATATGAGACTGATGTCATTGTGGCTAGCCAGGAAGGAACAGAAAGAGGAAGGAGGGCCACCTGCCATTGCTCAGAGAGCTGTACAGGGGATGTCCTCTCTGAGTGTGAAGTAATAAATTGACAGTAAGGATGCCTCAATTTGAAGATCATTAGGTGTGGAATTACATACTGTCCGTAAAATACCAAGAACAAGATCTAGCCTGTGGTAACAGCCCATCACACTGTGAATCCTTCTGTGAAAACTAGTTGGTCTAACCTTTCACTCTTCCAAGGTAGACACAAGTGCTAGGAACCCTCGGGTGCTGATGTGTGTCCTATTTGTAAGCAATTTCAACCTCAATCATGGAATGCTTTTTTATCTTGTTTCTAGCTATTTTTAATTCTCAACATTTGAGTTTAGATTTAAAAAAAAATCATTGCAGGTTAATCTCCCAGGTGGGAACTACTATCTACAAGCCTCATATTTCCTGACCGACAGGAACCCTATCCTTCCTGCCCATCTTTTTCTTCCCTTCACCCCTACCTTGCAGGCCGCTTAGAGTGCAGAGAAAACATTCACTAGGCTTCAGGCTGATAGAAAAGTAGCCTGGGAAAGCCATGCTCTGTGAAATGGATATGTCAATCCTGTGGTTATTACGTGGTCAGCCATCCTCGGTTAGACAGTATTTCCTGCATGTTATCTCGTTTCACAGTGCCAGAGCCGAGCAGTCCCTTGTACATTTTCTCCAGTTATTTAGCCCATTAATATCTGGGTGCCGGGACATCCCTGTGTGTTATATTTGTGGGTATTTCTCATCTAGAATGACAGGGGTGGGATGGATAAGCATCTGGGCTTATCAATACAGAAATGTAATGATGTCTTCAAATGGGACAAATGTCTGCACTGTTGATTCCAAGCCTTCCTGAAAAACATGGCCCATGAGGACTGGCATACAACAAGTTGGCTGCATTTCTTTTGTTTGAATCATGCTGGAGAGCTGAACAGAGCACTTCTGAGTTCTGGTAGAAATGAAGAGTTCTGATAAGGTCTCTTTGGGAATTGAAGAGAAAAAGTGAGCTGAAAAGGAAGACAGAAACAGCAATAGAAAGTGATTCCTGTAGCAACATCAATGCTACAACTTTAAAAGCTATGTACAGTCAAAGCCATAGGATAAATCAATTGGGCACTGACACGTATTTAAAGGGAAAACACACATTCTCTACACTCCCCCGAATCTGTCTTAAGGCATATTACTGCAGAAACCCAGTTCCTACCAAAGAAGTTACACACAAAGAATTCACATGACTAGGCACCTCAACTAACACAGCAGCAGGCATTGTACCCTCCAGGACAATGAAGTCGGTGCTGGAAAAGTACCTATTTAGTAGCATTCACCCACAAAGATCATCAAAAGCAAGCATCAGATGGGATTTTAGCCCACACTTATTAGTAGGATCATTGACTCATGAAGGAAGAAAATTACACAATTTTTAGCATGAGTCATCATTTGCTGCCCGTTTTGATAAACACGGTCAAAAAAACTCTGCTCTACAGCTAACTACAGTCATAGTACACTGACCAAGAAACTACTTGCTGCCTTGGATTTGATCATTTTTTCCCAAGTGTCAACTTTACATCAGGAATTGGAAATGACCACTGCTTTATTCTGACCTGAAATTTAACCATGGGAGGGTTTGCCAGAACAACTGACCTCTTGCCTTGTGACCATGGCTCCAGGAAACACGGCTTCCTTCAGAACCCTTCTAAGCCACTTCAGGCCCTCATCAACAAATACACTGCTCCATTAGGTTCCGAACATCCCTGTGTGCCTAAGAATTGTCAGCTGCAAAGCAGAGACAAATCAATTTGTCCTTTACCACCTTTCCCGGGTGTTACATGTATTATGAGACGTTGCCACCAGGTGGCAGAAGTGTAACATGCTGAGATTGATGAGCCTCGAGGTTGATTTTTAAATTATTATTATTGTTGTTGTTTTAACATGTTTTAGAGATGAGTGTTTCTAAAATGCAGGGAAAGACCCTTTTAGGGCCTCACCAGCTGAGAGGAGTAAGATAAAAAGCTGTGCTTTGCCCATTCTTCTAACCTGTCTTGCTTAGCTTAGGTTTCTAGGGAGGACTGACTTGAAAATGTCCTTGCTGACAAGATGGTTTCATACTGTGAGAAGTACCGTTTTCTAGTTGCTCTCAGGTAGTCCCCACTTAGAGGGTTGGGGCAGGAAGATACACTGAAGCTGCCGTGAGCAGTTCTACCCTCTGTCCCAGGGCAGGGAGGAAGCAGGCAAATCTCTGGAGTGGACTCGGGACCCACGCCGTCATAGGATCCCCCAGGTGAGAGTGACTGGGCAGGATCCAGTGATGCCAAGCAAGGGGTGAAGTGCAGATTTGTAGGGAAACATTGTATTGGAAGAGAATTGTTTTTAACATTTAAGTGCTAACTAAGGTAGATATAAGGTCATATAATCCACTATGGTTACACTTCTATCCTTTGCCAAGGACCAGCGTTATTAAGGAATATAGATTGTGAATATTTTACTCAAGTGATGTACAGGGTATGCATCCTGTAGCAATTGGTGCTAAGAATCTGCCCCTGTGGCTATAATGAGGGTGGCCTGTCAGAAAACAGACTTGTTCTCACTCTCTTCTATGGCTTTGAGCGATCTGAGGACACTGTTGTGCTCGCTGCCCTTCTTGACTCTCATATTCCCCCTTATACAGAGGTGAAGCTGGTCTCTTACAGCATTGTCCTCTTGCCTAAGCAGTTGCACTGTAAAATGGCAATGGAGTCAAAGGACCTAGACTAAATCTCTTCCAAATGAAAGAGTTTCTGAAATGACTGCCTGGAAATGTTGATAATACGTTCAGGGTCGGTGGGACTGCTGCTCAGCTGAAGATCTGGTTCCAAACCTGTCCACTCTACCGACAAGCAGAGTCATGGTGTTCAGCTACCTCATGGTGTTCAAAAACCAAAGCTGTCCAAAACATCCCTTCAATGAAATACCCAATCTTTACAACTGCCATACTGATCATTCAAGGAGCCATATTAGAAAATGGCATGTTGCAGTATTATTTGGTGTTAACATATTCTTTGGTGAATGGATAAACAGCCACAGCCGTAGGAACAGCAAAATTCCTTCAGCCTGTGCATTATTGGTTCCTAATTCCTTGGCATCCACTGGCTTTTTCAATGTCTGTTTTCTGAGCTAAAGGTTTATAGATGTTTTGGGAGAAATTCCATTCCCAAGAACTCACAACATAGAGATTCTCTCAGAAAACTCTAAGGAAGGCTACACACTACGATAAATACCCCAAAAGCCCAATAAATGATCCATGTTCTATTCTTAGCCTTTGTGGGACAGGACATTAAGCCATGAAGGCTTTCCATTTGGGCTTTCTTTGTTGGCCATGCAATAGCAAAGGTACTGTTTGGTGTTCTGAATAGAACTATCCTGTCCTACCCACTGGGCTTTTGCATAGCTGTATGAATTTTGGCCAGTCTTCTCTTCATAACTGACCATCTCCTGGGAGGCAAGAAAGGAACTACCTCCATAAAAACCAATTTTATAGCTTTCAAAACACTTTTAAGCCCCTTTACCTGCTGTGGCATAACGGCACCGTTGACTAAGCACAAGAGAAAAGAGAATGAGGCTTTTCCTTGTAGAAAGGTGTCATAGGTGCTGATGAGTCATATCTGAAAGAAACACTCTGCTGGAGGAGAACGCCCCTCATCAAAATCCCGCCCTGGGCTGTTTGGGAGGCCCTGCTTAGTCAGTGTTGGCTGGGGTGGCTGCCCTCTCATAGCTATTAATCTCAGATCTGAGACGCAGATGTGTGTGTGCAAGGGTACATGTTATTATTATGAGTTCTCAAATAGCCTGCCACCTGCACACCCAGCTAGCCGGTGAAAATAGAGAACGAACGAATGAGCGAGGAGAAGACTTGTGGCTTTGTCATTTGAGGTGCCTTGTTTCCTGAGCTGTGTGTAATAGTCCAAGTCACTAGGGTTGGTTATGCGATTGGTGAAGCTGTGTGCAAAAGGGAAATTCAGGGCCCCTTCATAAAAAATTATTATGAATTTCCAGGTGGTGACAGCATAGCATTAAAGCGAGTAACTGCACATCTATGTACCTACATGTCCCTCTTAAGCACCCTAGGAAGCTGTTCTTTGAGCAGCAGCAGTGGAAATGGTGTATGGTGGGTTGCATTTTAAAAAATACACACACTCTCTCTCTCTCTCTCTCTCTCTCTCTCTCTCTCTCTCTCTCTCTCTCTGTCTCTCTCTCTCTCTCTCTGGTTGCCTAGCAACTGGCTAAGGCCCTGAATGGGCTGACTCGCAGGTTTAGATACACCATCTTGAAATTCTGAATTTACAGCAAGCTTCTAGTAGACTGATTATTTTAGAGGGAAAAAAAATACTGTAGTGAGAAATGAAAATGGGAAGGCAAGAAGGACCACATTTTTCTACTCTTATAACCCACATGGCTATCCCATAATTCTCCCTGTTCTGTCTTCTATAAACAAAACTCATCAGTGAAGTAAATATGGAAAAGAAATTGCAATTTCCCCAGAAATACCAACCATGTTTTCCTTAGAGAGTAAGGAGACTACGAATGTATCTATACACTGTTTTTTAACATGTTCCTGCAGCAATGCCAGGATGTGTTAAGGAAAACTAGTTCAAATCCACCAAGCACATCAGAAGCACCTGCCTATGCTGCAGACTGCAGAGATGAGTAGGAGGGGGGTTTTCTTCTTGAGGAATTCTGCATTGTTCAAAGTCATGAAGGGAATAGATAGAAACAAGCAGCCTGCAGCATCGCCTGTTTGCAAAAGGCTGTGATCTCATCTCCTGTCCTTGGTATTTCTCAGGGCCCTTGTGTTGCAGAATCAGAACCATCATTTCTGGCAGGGGCCAAGCAGTTTGGGCTTTCCAGAAACAGCCACATCGCTATTGCCTTTGATGACACCAAAGTTAAAAACCGGTATGTATTATTCTAAAATATGACACAGCAACTGATCATCAAAGCACTGACTATTCAGGTTCAATCAAGCCTAATCAACTACATGTAAATCTCTTGTGTTGGGGTTTGTTTGCTTCCAATCCACCGAGGAAAGTAGAAAACGGAGTTCTGTTTGCTTTGAGCTCATATGCAGGAGATGCATAACCCTAGAAATCCTCCTGTTACAGATTTCACATCCTTCCTCAAAGTGCACCCCTCACATGCTACCACGTTTTCTTAACCTAACAATGCTCCTAGTTTTCTGTTTCTTTTCCACATTTGTATTTCACAGCCTCACAATTGAGCTAGAAGTGAGAACCGAAGCTGAATCAGGCTTGCTCTTTTACATGGCTCGAATCAATCATGCTGATTTTGCTACTGTGCAACTGAGAAATGGATTCCCCTACTTCAGTTACGACTTGGGAAGTGGTGACACTAGCACCATGATCCCCACCAGAATCAACGATGGCCAGTGGCACAAGGTAACAGTCTGAGGTTGTGGACAGCATTCTAAGAAGGGTCCCAGAGTCAGCCTGGACCTTCCCCTGCCAGTGATGCTTTGCGAACTCAGACCCTAACTCTAGAGTTACAGTGATGTGGCAGAGACTGAACAAATGGCCAGTGGTGTGTACAATGGCCAGAGCCTTGAGAATGTGTTGAGACCTGAGTAGGTTTCTGCTTCACCATTTGAGCTGATTATGGTACCAGAGTCCTGTCGTTGCTATATCACTGTGGTTCCCAAGCATCTGTCCAAGAAAACAGGGCCAGGCAATTTAAGATGGTTTAAGTGAGAATCAGAGGACAACTGGGTGTGTTCATTATGATGCTTTTGTTTTCAGCTTACAGAAATAATGTTTATTGCAAGACTGTTATTTCTCTACTAAGAAATAATACGTGACCAAAGTAAAAAGACCTACCTCTCACCCTAGCGCATTTTGACCTGAAAATCAGGAGACTGGAAATCTCTGCAAAACCAAGTTTTAAGGGGCCCCAAGGTACCATTTCCACCAACAGTCATTTGCAACAACTTTAAATGTTGGCCTTATACCCAGAAACTGGTGCTATTGTAGGCACAGAAGGCTCGTTTGCCAACTTCCTCCTCTTTGGCTTGGCTGCAAGTAGATAATATGTGGCTTGATTAAAACAAAACCTCAAAATTTGTCCCTGCACCTGTGATAGCCTATTAAGTAAAGTTTCCCTAGGTAGACCCATAAAATGTTTAATTTTCAGAGTGAAACATTATTAGATGTTGGATTTGATGTATTAACTTGCTTTGGCTTGTCATGTCAGAAAGACAGCCAAAAAACAGAAGAAAATAGAATTACAATTCAAACCACAAGTCAATCAGCTTGTTACCCGGGAAAGAAGCTATGAGATCTTTTTTGCTTGGGACCTTCAAAATAGCAAGTGTGACTCCTGGTGAGGAAAATCTTGATAGGTTTTCTTCTCTTGTCTGGCTAATGGAAGAAAAAACACTTGAGAAAAAAAGACATATTAATGGACCACCAAGTTAAGATTAGGAAAGGCAATTTATGTAGAATAATTAGCCTTACTAGGACAAATGTCATTTGTGAACATTTAAAAAATGTACTTCCTAAATCAGAATAGATATTTAAAATGTTACATTATTTTGTAATCCTGCCCTAGCTTGCTTTTAGAGCACTTTTGTGCCCTGGCATTTAAAGGCTTACATCTTCCCTTGGCTAGATGCAGACTCCCAGGCCTCCCATTTTCTCCCCTTCTCTCTCTCTTACTTCTGTCATGATTTCAGCAGATCTCAGGTTTACATCTTCCTCCCTGACTTTAGATCAATCATCTGCTACAAGGCAACGCCCCTCCCTTGCCTGATCTTTCTTCCTATACGTTTTCACAAGTAGGTCTGAATAGGCATATGTGAAGTTATATTAGGATCCCAGACATTGGGGACCAGGAAAGTTCCATTAAGGAACATCTTAAGGTCCAACCTCTGGGTTTCAGTAAACAGGAGCTCACAGGAGCTCCCGCCTACAATTGTATTTCAGATGTGAGCTAATCTGCTAATGAATGACATGGCCTCAGTGGAGAATGTCCCATAGTTTGCATCTCTACAGAACTAAGCATTTGAGGCCTGCACCTGGGGGCAGGGCTAGGTATGTTAGTAACAAGTGAGGACCGAGAGTTAGGAGCTATCTAGCAGAGAGGAGTCAACTGAAGGAGACAGAAATGGCCTCCTGGACTTGGAAGGAAGCATGGTTAGAAACAGCCAGGAAGATGACAAATAAAGAAAAGACTCCAGTTTTGCAACATGGAACTGAGAGCTCTCTAAAGATGACAAGATGCCTGTGTTTGGTCTTTATCGACGTTGGGTTGCTAGGAGTTTCCAAGTCCACGCTCCCCCACTCAGGCAGAACCTCATGACTTCTGTGGCTTGGGGATGAGACATGCTGGGCCATGACACCAGACTTTGCTCATCCAAATTAGCACACTGCTAAAGGGAGACATGGAAATTGAGTGCAATACCGCATGCCTATCATACCCGTGCTGGGGAAACAGGGGCAACAGGTCCTGAGTTCAGAGCCAACCTCAGCTATGTAGTGAGGCCTTGTTTCAATAATAGTGATAATGATGAAGGAATGAATCTTGCATCCCTCTTAGCTCAAGGCAGAGCTGTTAGTCTGCTAAGTTCTTTAGGACACATCCACCTCTGGAGCATAGATTTCTATTTATATTTCTCGAATTTTATCTGATACTCAGAAAAAATTATATTCAAAGACAGCATTTGATATGCTCCATGAAACATATTTACTTTCACTTGTAGTATGCGTTGAGCACATAAGTGATATTATTTTCCCTTGGAAATACCAGGAAAGTTCTTATGTCTTGTACTTTTGTTCAAAATTGTCATTAATGATGACTCCTTACACTTTTGTAGATTAAAATTTTAAGGGTGAAGCAAGAAGGAACTCTTTACGTAGATGACGCCTCCAACCAAACCATCAGTCCCAAGAAAGCTGATATCCTGGATGTTGTGGGGATGCTGTATGTTGGTGGGTTGCCGATCAACTATACCACACGCAGAATTGGTCCAGTAAGTGTCTAATTCCTTGTTGCTTATTTGATAGAGTTAGTGACTTGTGCATGCATTATCTTTTTAATTCTGAGGTCCTGTGATGTGGGAAAACATCTTATTAGAGAAAGGGAGTGAAAGACCCCCATGGGGTGAGACCCCAGGGTGACCACTCAGGAATGCAGCGACCCCAATCACCAGACAGAGGTGAGGACTTGATGCAAACTGTAAGAGGCTTTATTGCAGTTGTTTAACACGATAACCCCATTAGTTAGAGCCTTTTGTCCATCCACCATGGAGGATGGCTGGGGAAAAGACCCCGAGAAACCACGGGACAGAGATCTTATAAGAAAGCATAAGGGGAGTATCTAGGGGTACACACAGGCTCAGGATTGGTGTGCCTCCAGGCTTGGAGGACTTGCCCTGTGTTGATTGGTCAACTGGTTGTTATGGCCCACAGGCCCTCCAAGGGTGGTTGCTGTGCTCTGCATGTAATTGCTGTGCACTTGTCCATAAAGCAGACCCAGAGCTTTAAAACATATCCCCACCAGCTAATGTCTGATTGGTTCCTTGCCACAAGGCAGGCATCTGACCTCCTAGTGACCAAGGCAAGGTCAGGCAAGCACATGTTATACTGTTATGGCTGCCAAAACGGGGAACTGGTCCCTCCCTTCAGGAAGAAGTCTTCTAGGTAACCTTGACTATGCGAGATATTACCACAAAACACTGAAGTGGGTACCTCTTTGTCCTTGGGTTGAGTATCTACTTAACTAGATATTCACACTAGCTGTATGGCCTTAAGCAAATCATTTCACTTCTCTTAAGTGAACCCTCTATTTTCAAATTATGGCAATGATAATACTGACAAACTACAACAAGAAAAATGAAGGTATTGATATTCATGTTGTCCTTTTAGACCTCTTGAGGGATGCACAATTTAAAGAGCAGCTACCAAATTTTGACTTTAGAATTTAAAAGCTTAATAATTGCACAAATTCATATTTTCCAGTTAAGTTTTATAAACTTGGCTGGTGTCCTGGCTTACTTTGGAAAGCACAGTTATGAGAAGTGGGGATCAGGGTTTTTGGTGACTGCATTACAGACTATCCCAGGTGTGATAGACTTCTCCATTCATTTAGCAAATGTATGTTTCTGCATCAAAGTCCATCACTATTACAGTCATGATGCTCAGTACCCGGCTGTGTATGAATAGTATATATTCCCTTTTTCATAACTATGCTACCTACCTACCTATCAAGAACAAGAAACTGGAGTGATGATAGCAAAAATGATCAACTCCAGTTTCTAAACCCAATGGACTTTAGTGCATCAGAGCATAGGATTAAGTTAGTTCTAAATCCCATCATCCCTAAAATATTTTATACAAATTTGTACATTCCATGTATATATTTTCTGAGAGGAGGGACCATTTCTTTCATTGGGTTTTTGTTCTAAAGGAAGTAGAACTGATTGAAACTTTTTTAGTAGGAAAGGAAACATAGATTGAAACAGAATGCATTGATAGTAAGGTTAAGAAATTATCCATAGAAACATGAAATCAGTAATATAAGAGACTAATCAAATATTACCATGCTCACATGGAGTTCATAGTTCTGCCAAGTCAATGGTCACATAGTGTGACCCCATCCTTAGATTATCAGGTTCTTGTGGTCCTGGCTAGATACATCCCAATGGACAAGTTTGGTGTTGGATTTTGGTCCACTGTACTGTCAAGTCTATCATACTGAAGTCCAGACCCAAGCAGCTCTGAGGTATATTCTGGGACAACTGGCTAATGATAGTGCATAGTGTACTCCACAGGTGGCTGACTACACATAGAGACAAAACATTGCTAAATTTGGCATCTATTTCCTCTGACCCAACTGCTGTGCAGGTGACCTACAGTCTTGATGGTTGTGTCAGGAATCTTCACATGGAGCAAGCCCCTGTTAACCTGGACCAGCCAACTTCCAGCTTCCATGTCGGAACATGCTTTGCAAATGCTCAGAGGGGGACGTACTTTGATGGAACAGGTTTTGCCAGAGCAGGTGAGGCACTTCCACATTCTTTCTGCTTTGAATATGCACTGACTTCTTGCCTATGCCAAGAAATAAAAGTCCCCTGGGTCCTGAGCTATTATTCATTATTTAAACCCAAAATTAGTTTCTATAACTAACAAAAATGAATACCTCTAAAACATTCACATATGGTTTGTGGGGGCGGAGGCTGTAGTTCAGTGGGAAAGCATTGCCCAGCATGGGTGAGACTCTGGGCTCGTTCTCTAAGACTGCCAAAGCAAACCAGCAGTGATAACAAAACAAAAAATTGACATGGGTGATTCTGATAAGAACTCATAGGAAAAAATACGTAGTGGGGGAAAAAGATATTTGAAAGTCTGTTCCATTTCCTTCACTAGAGGTCAATGGCAGCAAAATGAATGCCACTATGCAAGAAGGCGCACACATAATGGTCTCCTCATTGTCTAACTTTCTGGAAATGAGATACCATCTTCCTTTCTTCCCTCAAAACTCCTTTCAGGGTTATATTTCACCACACACACACACACACACACACACACACACACACACACACACACACCACATTCACAGGCACAGCAGTACCTCTTTGTCATTGACTGTTACAACATATGTTATTTTGTCTGACTTTAAGTATTAATTTCCATATAGGTCTGTGTTAATGAAATTGAATACCACATTGTAATCAAAAATAGAACTAATCTCTATTTATATAAAAAAACCCTTATATTAGTTAGCATAAGAGTATTTGAATAAAATATATTTGTTCATTAGGAGAAAAATAACAAACACATAATATATGAATGCCAAGTGTAGGAAATGAGTAAATGAGATATATTCCCTGCCTTTAAAAGTATATTATCGATCATTAAAATTCAGTTTTCTGAGAAATCATAAGAAGGGAAAGAAAAATAATTTTTAGATACTATAAAAGATACACAGTGTTCTGCATATTTACAAGAAGGACTAGTTTTGTTTGGGAGTCAGGAAAGGTTTTCTGGAGAAACAGATGTGTGAGCAAAGCTTTATTATATGAGTTGAACACTTCATGCAGAAATTGTGGGAGTGGATATTACAATGCTCCAACGTGGTCTAGGGAGGAACCCTCACTTCAGTAGAAGCAGAATCCAAAACAGAGGGGATGTGTCCGGTAGGAAAATCCTGGAGATGTGACGGAACTCAAAAGTCACGTGCTGTGAAAGTCAAAAGGCTTCTCAAGATTTCTGCAAATTCCCAAGTGGCTGCCACACATTCTCTTCACCAGGTTTGGTGCCAAGCTTTAACATCTGTAGCTAATGGATTGACTTGTCATCCTTCTACCTATCCTTGGAACTGGATCAAACCGAGCCGGAAAAACTCCTCCCATCACTTCAATTCACAGCAGAATACAACTCACATAAAACTTGGGGGACAGAACTGCAGGTTACATCCATGGAAACCATACAAGTTCAATATAACAAGTTCAATATCTCTGTTCTTAAAAGCTTTCCAGCCACCCAGTCACTGGACATTTTATCGACCTCCTTGCCACCTGTGTCTTCAGTTGCAGCGCCCTACATCATTCCTTTATTCTTTTCACTTCTCTCTTGCTGTTTTATTTTCCAGAATAATTCAGCTCCTTCTGCCCTTTACTTGAAAAGTGTGCTTAAAAATCCATCCACCCTTTCCCATGCAAACTCCTCAAGATCCCCAGGAGAACAAAAAAATCTAGCATATAACAAGTGCCACCCTTTCCCGGGGACAGTTGGGCTCACACATAGTATTTATTGCTTGCACAGTAAATAGAAGGTAGAGAGGGGATTTTCTTAAGGGCTTTCCTAATATTCTGTGGAGTTCATGTAGTCTTAACTGATCTTAGGAAATCATTTCATTCCTAAGTGCAGTATCTCAAATTCTCATTTAAAGGCTGAATGAATGTCTGAGCTACATATTAAAAAGTCTGGAGAAAAGAATTGGCTGGGTTAAATAGAAAAGATTATGTTCTAGAATCTTTCCATAAAAATTATATTTGCAAGTCTTCTTTTCAGTTAATAAAATATGAAGGACTGTTTAAACTCTCCAATCACTGTAGTGCCATTTTGAGCATCTCAATAAAATTTTTACTGAGTAGTCATTGAGATGCTTTACTCAACCCTCAGACTTCCGAAATACTCATACCTGGCTTCCAGAGTCTTGATTCGGTCTCAGTGTGTGCTCACTCATTTGGTTATTCAATGATTCAGTCTCAGCATGAGCTCACCCATTCAGCTACTCAAGGACTAAAGCTACACTGTGCCAGACACTTAGACCTTTCCAAGAGTGAACTATGAGTAGTATGGATAAAGTCCTGGGCTCTCACATCAACACTCAAAATAAGCAACAAGAGTAAAGTACACTGTTGGTGAAGATACAGGCTACAATGAGTTAGCCCCAAAATCTAATCAATAATTTTTTTTTCAGTTGGCGGGTTCAAAGTGGGATTGGACCTTCTTGTAGAATTTGAATTCCGCACCACAAGACCCACTGGAGTTCTCCTGGGCATCAGCAGTCAGAAGATGGATGGAATGGGTATCGAAATGATTGACGAGAAGGTGAGTGTCTGCAACCCAAACGCAGTTCATCTTCTCACGACACTGGTGTTTCCACTCAGCTCTGTTTTGGGGTCTTACCAGAGTCTTCATCGAAAGAAAGCTAGATCCCTCCTTGTCATTCTTCCGGGTCATCACAATCCATGTGCACTTTTATCACAATTGTCCTGTACAGCATCCTGTACTTTAAAATGTCAGTCTACACCACAATTGTGTTGACCAATTGTGGGGCAAGTGGTTTGGGATGCCCAGCTCTCAGTGTGATGCTCCAAGGTCATCTGTTCTCTCTATGCACCTACTCTACAAAACTGCTGGTGCAGAGGAAAGGGAAGAGGCTCAGATAATCTGAAGTCAGCCTTGCTCTTAAAACAGGCAAGCATCTCCCCTATGATACCGAGGCTAGTCACACACGAGTTCCCAATTTTCACTTACAAGCACCTAGATACTGTTCAAAAACAGCAAGTAAATACAAGTATTACTAGTTTGTGTATAAGCAATAACAAGTTTTCCAATTGACTCATCTATAAGGACTTTCACTGTGCTCTTATTTCCCACCTTGGGGAGCTGGTATTGCCCAAGAAGAAACATGACAGGGTGGTCTAAAACACATCTTCCTTTCCTCTCTCTCCTTTGTGTTCCTCAAACCATCTCATAAACCACATAGAAAAAATATCCAGGAGCTTATAGGCAAAAAGGGTAAACAAATACACAGATAAGCAAAACTTCATAGATTTGTTGAATTTTTGAAAGCCTACATTCATTTTATCTTTTTTAAGTTTCCTTGCTTGCTTGTAACCTTTTACTATTTGCATGTCACTATGTCATGCAATTTTTCACCAGGTTCTTCAGAAATGCCAAATGTCATTTTAACAAACTCCACTCAGTGTCCTAAATTCTAATATTTACGTTACTACATATTTTGCAAACTTTTCACCTAGCCTTATTAATCTTTTTTAAGCAAAAATATTTTTTTTGTCTACCTTGTCAAGTCTATTGCCAAGCTGACTAATGTTTTTAATATTTCAGCATGTTCCTTTTCTTCATCAGCTTCAAAGGAATTCTGATGTCTCAAATTTCAGGGACCTTGCCTTGTTACTAAAAACAGACTTTTCTCATTTAAACAAGAACTTCTAATCAAGTTCTTCCTTGTTGGGAATTTAGCTGGCCTTCTGGCTTGGGTCTTTGGCACCTGTGACATGAAACTTGCCCCAAAAAAGTAATTTATATAACTCTTAATCCTGTATATAAAATGAAAACCACGAAGGAGAAATAAAAACACAATTAAAACATCAAAAACTTAAATTTAAAAACAATCCTTTAAAATAAATGTGTAAGTCAATTAATGAGTTGTTTTAAGCAGTATCTCCTAAGAAAGTTTCATGAAGTTCTCCAAGAGCCTTCACACTCTAAAAAGATGCATGGTAGAAAATCTTTGTGGGGATTGGGTTCTTTGCTGTTGCTGAATTCTCTTCAGGGTTTTCTTGGAAATGAGAACAGCATACACGTTGTCTAGTAATGCTGGCAACCCAAGAACACGGTTTGTCACTGGGACCCAAGCTTTAATTTTAAATGTCAGCTTTCCTCTAGGTTCTCTGTGTGTGTGTGTGTGTGTGTGTGTGTGTGTGTGTGTGTGTGTGTGTGTGTGTGTTTGTGTGTTGGTGGGTGGGCCAGGCGCACATGTACAAGGGCACACATGCACATAATGATGGCCAGAAGACACTGTATAGAGCTATCCACCTTACTGTTTGAGATGCTATCTGCTATTGGTTTGGAGCACACCAAGCCATATAGCCTGGCAAGCCAGTGAAGGCCAATCTGCTTCCCTTATGCTGTGAGTTTTTACGAGTTCTTAAGATTACTCAAGAACCACCCTTCAACTCTGCCCATTATTTCCACCTTTGAGTGCTGGCATTTCCCACAAAGAAAAGGTAATCTAAACTACACCATCCTCGCCTCCTTCCCCTTCCCTTATTCCTCAGACCTTCCCATAAACCACACAGTAAAACATCCAACAACTCAGAGGCAAGGATAAGCATGTGAACGATAAGCAGAATGGAATTCTTCAATAAACTAAGTAGTTTTTAAGTGCATGGCAAGCACTTTACTCACTGAGCTATCTCTCCAGACTCAAATTTGTCCAGATTTAAAAAAAAAACAAAGTTAAATAGGCCCCAGTTGTGTTCACTGCAGACTCTAATTCCACTGTGTGGGCTGTGGAGCTCTCCTTTACTAAAGCCACCTGTGAGTGCTCATGTTCCTACTTCCTAGCTTATGTTCCATGTGGATAATGGCGCTGGCCGATTCACTGCAGTCTATGATGCTGGGATCCCAGGCCATATGTGCAATGGACAGTGGCATAAAGTGACTGCCAAGAAGATCAAAAACCGCCTTGAGCTTGTTGTAGATGGGAACCAGGTGGACGCCCAGAGCCCAAATTCAGCATCGACATCAGCTGATACAAACGACCCTGTTTTTGTTGGCGGTTTCCCAGGTAAGTGCTGGCTGCTCCAGCAAACATGTCCTTTGCTCCTTATGCTTGTGGTTTTTAAACCTTTACATTTGCATAACCATGTCCAAAAATGTGTACTTAAGGGTACTTGCTTCCCAGCCCTCGAATCTCCTCCCATAAATAACACTTGGCCTAAAATTTCCAGTCTGTAAAATGAGAGGACATTTATTTAAACCACATGGGGCTAAAATTTTCATAATCACCCCCAAAGTTTCATCTAAGGGGAGGCTAAAGCTAAAGGAAATGAATTTGCCTTATAAAAGATATAAAACATTTAACAGCAGTTGAGGCCAGAATTGTGGGGTCTTTTTTTAATTATTATTTTAAAATTAATGTATCAGAGGAATCATAAAACACTGCTGAACTTATTTCCCCCAGTTCTAGAATTCTCCAGGTTAAATGTAGCTAATTTCCCACGTAGGTTATTATAGAGTTTATGTATTTATATTACAAAGAAAATGCAAGCAATAAATCTGTATTTAAAAACCCCTTCCTCAACACATTAAATACAGCAAGTCAACTGCATAGTTACCTAGAGCCCAGGAACAGGAGTGTGGAGCTGAGCAATGAGGCCGCTGCTTCTTCATGAGCACTGAAGCAACATATACTCCTGGAGTGAGCTGTCATCATTTTGAAAGGACAATTCTTGTCCTCCCATATGCAAAGTCCTTCTGCCTAGGAAGCAAAAACAAAGTGCAGAATTCAACACAGGTCTACAGAGCAAAAGACATTAGAAGAGATTGACAGTGTCTCCTTCCAGGGCTGCTTTTGGCTTTTCTCTTTTAAATTTGATTTTATAGGCACGGATGCTTGGCCTGCATATGTGTTTGTGGACCATGTGCATGTCTGGTTCCTGTGAAAAATGGCATCAGAGCCCCTGGATTGGGAGTTACAGACAGTTGAGGTCGCCGTGTGGGTGGTGGGAGTAGGGGTCGGCCGGGTGGTAGAGTGCTTGTCTAGTGAACACAAGGATTCTGAGTATAACCCTCTTCTTCTGTCTTTTCAGATGGCCTCAATCAGTTTGGCCTGACCACCAATATTCGGTTCCGAGGTTGCATCCGATCTCTGAGGCTCACCAAAGGCACAGGCAAGCCACTGGAGGTTAATTTCGCCAAAGCCCTGGAATTGAGGGGTGTTCAACCTGTATCGTGCCCAGCTACCTAATGAAGAGAAGTACAAGCCTGAGCAGGGTCTATCAAGATGAGTGTATCAAGTTAAACAATATACTTTCCTATGCATATTAATAAAACTAATGTGTGCACCTACATAGAATACTTTCTGTTTTCAGGTGGTAATAATTCAGACCACAGATTGAATTTTAATTCAAGTTCTCTTTCAAGCTTATGATTATTAAACCAATTATTTCATTCCAAATAAATGCATGTTTTGTATGATTTTATAGATGAAAATAACTGACCATAAAATGAATTTGCAACATGCCCTGAGGTCATCACTGAAAGAAAAAAAAGGCTCATTCAATTTGTGGAGGCTACTATAAAAAGAGACAATATCTATGAATAATTTTGTCATCCTCTTCCATGGCTGTTGGCTTTGGCATTTGTGTTCAAGCCACTAAAAACAAGTGGATTTTGTGCTTGTGATTGGGAGGCAATCAGGTCCTTCAGTCCCTGTGTTTGCAAAAGCATTAGCAAATCATTTCCCTAATCCAAGTTCATTATTAGAGCATTTAAGTCGCCTTATAAGTGAATACCTTTTCATGCTGCAGGTTGATAATATAGATCAGATTCAGGCCAGTGAGCTTAATTACTTGATTTTCTTGTTTGATAATGATTTCTAGGCTTTGAGAAGAAGCCAGAGCCAAACTTCGGAATGACAATGAAGCTCACAGCCTTTGCTTCTGCAGTGAGATTGTGGACTCCAGCTTTATAAGAGGGAGCTCACAGCCTACACTCAGACAGAGGAAGTGAGGAAAAGTCATTTGTATTTGTCAGGAGACACTCCACCAGAAGCTTCAGAGACAACATGACAAATTCATTTCCTATAAACATCAACAAAAAAGTTCTTTATTTCTTTCTGTTCGGTCATCTTCAAAGGGGAAGGGGAACCAAGACTAGCCTGGATTTTACTCATCAAGTTTAAAAGGAAACATTTCATTTGCTACCTTCAGAAGAAATGGATGTGATTTAATAATTCAGAACATGTAAAGCAGTGGTTCTCAACCTTCCTAATGCTGTGACCCTTTAATACAGTTCTTCATGTTGTGGTGACCCCAATTATAAAATTATTTTCATTGATGCTTCATAATTATAATTTTGTTACTGTTATGAATCAAATGTAAATGTCTGATTTGCGGAATATCTGATATGCAACCCTTGTGGAAGGGGTCACTACTAAGGGGTTGAGAACCACCGATGTAAAAGAACAGGAAACTTGCCTAACTAAAGAAATTTGAGCACCAGGAGAGTAATCTACTAGGAAGGTGTTATCTGCTAGGTGAATGAAGGTGCAGTTTCCATCACTGTATTGGCAAATGTACACTTAGCATTTTACCATTAGCCAGTTGTTCTGCAAAATTTGTCCACACATTTCTATTCTATTGAAAGCAATTCTCATCCTCAGCTTGGGTTTTAAAAGATATTTCCTTGAAGGAAAAAAAAAAAAAAAACCTGTAATGAGATAAGCAGTTCTGATTCAGTGTAGAATAGAAGGGATTTTGGAATCTTCCCCATGGAGAAAATCACCACTATTAAGAAATAATTATCCACCATGCCAACTGAATTTTATAGTCATTTGAAATTCCTACTATTATCATGACCTTGGATATTTCCAAACATATAAAAAAAATCTATATTGAATCTAGTTGCCTCTTAATCAGCCTTTAAGCCATTAAACTATTTGAAATTCAAAGTCTTGAAAATGCAATCATTACTTCTGCAGTGGACCTTGACATAAATTATTGGAGTTATTCTGGATACTGGGTAAGATCAACATGAATAAAGATGCTTTTCTTAAATTAAAATAAAATCCCCTTTTCCCTCAAGTTCTGCTTGAAATGATACATAAATTTAAAACCCAGGTGTATGATTGACACTCCTATCAGAGGCAAGTCCTGCTGAAGTCAATTCTAGATAAGTGCTTTGGAAGGGGAGGGTCAGCATGTCCTTTGACATGGATGCAATGCCTCCTGATTCCAGGAAGACATTACAAATGGCTTAGGTGCATTAACAAATCAAAAAATTATACATGGATTTTGCCCAGTACCAATTAAGCAACAATCTTGAGTAGGATCCTTGCATACACACACACACCCCAGTTTCCAACTGAGTCCAATGTATGATTGGGAATGGAAACCTCAAATCTCCTGCCATCTCAGTATTTCATTAAGAGGAGCTAATGGTAACCTGAAGTGTGACAATGTGCTCGAGGTCCCACATTAGTGATATTTTCCAACATGGCTCCAGAAAAGTTGCTCTGAGGCAGAATTCACTACCAGGCTTTGAGTAGATTTCTGTCACCCTAGGATCACACTGAAGGGTGGAACCATGACTGTGCATGAACAGAGCTTATCTAGATTTCAACAAAAATGCATTTTGTAGCATACTTTAATTTCCCACCTCAAATATCAAATTAATTTTTATCCCAAAAGAAGTTAAATTTTATTTTCTAGTCAGGCCTTCTCAGCAATTTCAGCACCTCCTGTCACGTGTGGCCACCATGAAGAAAGGTAAATAGTTTTCATTTATTTTCCAACATTCACTCCTACCAGGTTGAGCCTTTCTTTTTTAAAAGGTGCTTGGCACTTTGAAAGAAAAAAAAAAACATTTGTGAGGGTCTTTTATGGAAGTTACCATGGCAGTCATCCCCAAGATTGGAAAATACAGAAGAAAGCAGACAGATCTCAACCCCAAGTCACCAGACCACTGACAAACACAGCTTCAATTAGTAGTTATAAAAATTATAGCCACCCTCTCCCACTTTCATTAGTCTATTGTCCCTGACTACAAAGACCTGCTAGATTTTCTACTTTACAAAACAAAAGATGATTTTAACAACTTGAAATCTTCAGATTTTTATGGAGATTTTATTGGGTTTGTTTATATATAAAATAGATTAACAAAATAGTAATAATAATAATAACAAAATAGTATAAAACAAAATAGTAATTTTTTTTTCAAAGGTGGAGTCATTTTTACAGCCATCTGAAAATATCACACTTTTGAGAAAGCTTTCTCATCTTGTTTCTTTTTATTTTTTTCTATTTAATCAGTAGAGATAGTTGAACGCATCAAAATGTAGTTTCCTTATTTGCTTGACTGAAATTCCTGCATTTTTCAGGTTCAAAAGTCACTTGGAGAGAAAGGCCACCTGCTCTGGGTGCTGAATTCAAACATTATATTAGAATTTGGATAGTGATAACACTCACTTAGGTAATTTGTACCAATTACCTAAGTGCCATGACATGTCTCTATTAGTGATAAGGGAATGTTAGGGGTGGAACTGTGTCCTCACAAAATCCATGACCAATCCTAATGCCCAGCTCCAAACATAACTAATTTTGGAGATGAAACCTACAAGGAGATAAATGAAAAGAATGAGGACATAAAGGTAGGCCAGTTGATATGTGACCTTAAAAGAAGAAACCAGAAAACAGACTTTGAGAACAAAGCAGAAAGAGGACAGCTACTTAAAAAGCAAAGAAGCCTTGAGAAGAGACCCCCCCCACACACTGACATCTTGAACTTGGACATCCAGTATACAGAAACATGAGAAAACAATTTTATCTTGTTTAAACTACCCAGTCTGTTTCTCTGAAGTATATTACTGAAAGCAAATTAACACATGGGTATTCCTTTATTGAAATATAAATAATATTTTTAAATTTAAGGTTCAATCATCAGCAAATTTGAGGTTTCGAAATGGTGACATCTACATCAGAGAAATCAATTGTTTTGAAAGTGACTGTTGTCTCTTGTGTTATGATTAGGAAAAAGTTTTAAGAATTTTCAAAAGTAAAAGATTGTGATTCCCTATGTGAAGAATTAAAATAGATCAATATGTCTTACCCTGCACAAAACTCAAACTGGGCAAAAAACCTTAACTTAAAAATGGAAACACTGAAGCAGATATGAGAGAATACATCAGGATATAGGTATAGGCAAAAAAATTCTAAGTAGACATCCTCATAGGACAAATAGCTGTAAGAATTAGTAAGGAGGATTACATAAAATGAAAAGCTTCAGCGCTGCAAAAAATATCAAACAGCAAAATGAACAGACACAAGACAAAATGGGAGGAACCCTTGTCATTAACCCCTTCAGACAAGGGGTTAATATTGAGAAAATATAAAGAATTTCAAAAAATTAAACACCAAAACAATATAAAACATTCAGTCAATAAATAACCCAATTAACTGAGCACAAAGTTTTCAAACGAAGAAATACAAAGTGCTAATAAATATTTTGAGGTGTTCAACATCTTTAGCTATCAGAAAGATGTAAATTAAAACTATTTTGAAAATCCACATCAGTTCTGTAGCAGACTACTCTTTGTGGCCCCTGCTTCCTCTCTGAACCCATTCCCAGAAGATCACCTGTGTCTTCCACACTGATTCTGTACCACCCCACCCCTTTGTCTTAGCTGCTTCCTGATTGAAGAAACCAAGACAAATATGGTAGGTCTTTGCTTATGTGTGGATGTTAGCTGTTAAGTCATCTTAGCTTGATAAGCAAGCTACAATACATTTGTCCTAATTAGGGTTTCGAGTCTGTGAAGAAACGCTATCCACGTCAACTCTTACAAAGGAAAACATTAATTTGGGCTGGCTTACTGTTTCAGAGGTTTAGTTCATTATCATCATGGCAAGAAGTATGGCAGCATGCAGGCAGACTTGGTGCTAGAGAAGGCTCTGCAGTTCTACATCTTTATTCAAAGGCAACAGGAGGTGAACTGTCCCATTGTGCATGGCTTGAACATATATGAGATCTCAAAGCCCACCTCCACAGTGAGGCACTTCCTCTAACATGGTCATACTTCCTAATAGTGTCACTCCCTATGGCCAAGCATTCAATCACATGAGTCTGTGGGAGCCAGACCTATTCAAACCAACACATGTCCACTCCCTGGCTCCCATAGGCTTGTATTGATAGCATAATGCAAAAAATGCATTAAATCCAACTTTAAAAGTCCTCATAGTCTATCACAATCGCAACAATGTTTAAAAATTCAAAGTTTCTTCTAAGACTTATGCAAGTAACATTTTTAAATGTTTTGCTTTTGAAATAAAGTGTCAGTCTCTACTATATATAGCATATATATATATATATATATATATATATAGAGAGAGAGAGAGAGAGAGAGAGAGAGAGAGAGAGAGGGAGCTCTCTATATACTATATACACAATATATATAAAGACTATA